ATTAAAATAAATTTAATCAGTAATTTTTTTAATTTGAAAAATCATTGAGAGAATATATTTTATTTTTAATTAAAATAAATTTTATCAATAATCTTTTTTAAATGTAAATATTTTTTCGTAAATGTAAGTAATTTTTTTGTTATATTTGTTTATTTTTATAGATCTAAGTACTATTTTGGTTCAAAAAATGTTTAGGGACTAATCGTTCAAAATATGAAAGTCCATTGGTTTTTTTTTCCAGACTTTTTTCATTATTTTATCACATTAACCGGTTGTATAAGTCATAAGGATGTATGTAACATGTTTCATAAAGTCCATTGGGTTTTTTTAGACTTTATTTCAACATTTATTATATTATTAAAATAATATATAAATTTATTATTCTAATAATTTTTTAAAAAAATAACTTATATAAAATAATAATTCAATATTATTGGTAGGAATGAATGAAACAAATTAATTTTTTTCTATACATCAATTTAAACTTGAGTTTTTTCCATTTCAAAAAAACAATATATAAAATATATCAGAGTAAAATAAAGAACTGAATAATTCATATAATGATTTAAAAATAATTTATATAAAATAATAATTCAATATTATTGGTAGGAATGAATGAAACAAATTAATTTTTTTCTATACATCAATTTAAACTTGAGTTTTTTCCATTTCAAAAAAACAATATATAAAATATATCAGAGTAAAATAAAGAACTGAATAATTCATATAATGATTTAAAAATAATTTATATAAAATAATAATTCAATATTAATGATCGTTTTGTCAAGTTTTCACATTATATATAGATGAATACATCAAGAACTGTTTTCACTGAGCATAATGATTTTTATATAGAAAGTTGGGTGAGTTTAAATATATTAGATTTTAAATTGTTATATAGCTTTTTTCATCGATAAACTGTAATTGAAATCATAACTCTTATTTATTCAAATTTTATTACTATGTAAAAACCAAGTGTAAGTTATATTATTGTTAAAATCTCCTCTAACAAAACCACTGAAGCTTCAAAAACGTTAAAATTCACGGCTCTCTTCGTATTATGCGGGTAAACAACTAATACTTATATAATTAAGTGTTTATATTTATAAAATCTGCACCACATGATAGAGTATCTTAAAAGAATATTTCATAATAACTATTTATAAACTAATTTAATTTACACTTAATTATTTTTGTTATGAAATTAGCTACAAAACCCTGGGACATCCTTCAAAAAAAAAAGGTCATATTTATAAAACAACCAACAATTTTTCATCGATACCAACAATGTTACAATACTCGGTTTATTTTGATCATGCATGCTCAAAAACCCATGTGATATACATAATAATAACAGTAACAATAAATATGTGCAAAAGTTGTCATAATTCAACGTTGGATTGCAACCAATCATATGTATGCAGATAATAAATTCAACGAATCTGAACGAAAACATGTAGTCAACGAATAAAAACGAGATTGTTACCCAATTGGTCAACATGTGAAATGATGATAAGGCTCGAAATGGATGTGTATGGAACCATATCGTGTTATAGATACGATAGCTAGGTAACTCCAAAAATCAATGTGGGCTCCAGTAGTCATGTACGAGCAAGCAACTTTAGTACATAGCAATTTGATAACTTACATTATACATACATTAAAGTTAATTACGTTACAAAGAAAATACGTTGATCATCTAACAGTGTCATCAATGATTAAAAAATTGTATCATGAGAATAGAAAGAGCAAGGTGGTAAGAAACGGCAACTGATGGCACAATGCAAGAAAAGAACGTGTTGGACATAAGATTACAATGATAGAAATGAGAAAAGTTTTCACGTAATATGTTTCCATTTTTTTCTTTCAGATATAACTTTGACCAGATAAACACTTTGATGACAAATTGAACACAACAAAGCGTAGGATTTGAAATGGAATGTATAAAATGGATTTCTATCGTGTTGATAATATTTTACCCTTCCATCGTCGTCCACTGCCATTCACCACCATCGTGCTAAAACCCCCATAAAAGGGTATTTTGGTCGGTTATCATTCTTTCATTTAATTCTAATTTATTTGACAAATTATAGTTCAATTCATGCTGACCAAACACGTGGTCAAATCCAATTCCAAAACATTATATGAACCAAACTCTTCCTTCGTTTATGCTCGTTGTCACACCCACCAGGCCACCACCCACCCTACCCCACTACTTTTCACATTCAAATGATCAAATTTCGTCAAATTTCATTCAAATTTCTTCAAAGTCAATTTTATTTAATGAATTCCAGTTCCACTAAATTTCATTCTATACGAACCTATAGTTTGCTTCTTGCATTTCTCTATTAACTATTTGTTTAGAGAAAAAGTGTAAGATCCCACATTGGTTGTGTGGGGTACCAGGATCGTCTTATCTTGTAAGGGATTGGATACTTCTTCTACATACGCGTTTTAAAACCGTGAGTCAGGTGTATGGACAAAACAAACAATATCTGTTACAATTGGTTTGGGATCTTACATATGGCATCAGAGCCGAAAACCGTACTGGTGCACCAGCGTGGACGCTAGGCTCCCAAGGGGGTGGATTGTAAGATCCAACATTGGTTGGGGGTGGGGAACCAAAGTTACTTTATAAGAGACTATATACCTCATCCATCAGAAACATTTAAAAACCATGAATCTAGATATATAGACAAAAAAATTCGTTTTTTCTCAAATGTTACAAAATTACCTCATAGCATCATTCATCCAAAGTCAAAGTCGGGTCCATCATGGTCCCCTCGAAAGGCCGGTGCATGCATACATACATACATGCATTCATTTATTAGTTATTGTTGTAAATATTATCAAAATCAACGACAATTAAGACAACTCATCACGAGAAAAGTAATATGTAATTATCATATGAAATTAAGTTTGATGATTAAAATAAAAAAAAATTATCACAAGAAATACGATATCTAATTGATCATATCAAATTAAATCGATGCTTAAAATAAAAAGATTTATGTAAGAAAAGCAGTAAATAATTGATCATATCAAATTAAGTCGATACTTAAAATAAAAAGATTACGATAAAAAAAAGCAGTAAATAACTGATCGTGTGAAATTAAGACAATGGTTACAGTAAAAAGACTATCACGTGGAAACTAATGTTTAGGAGGACCATTTTTCGATTTCATTAAGTGTAAAGATTTATCTGATCAGATAAATGCCAAGTTACTTAATCGTGCAAAATATGAAAGTGCATTGTGTTTTTCTCGGATTTTTTTGCCATGTAATAATGAATTTTACCACAATAACTGGTTTTTGGTCACTTTTATAGGTTAGAATTCGAGTTGTTAACATTTTTATACTAATTAATTTTTATAATTAAAATGTACAAATAAAATTAAAAATTATTGATATTTAACCATTTTCACTTAATTATTATTCATGATAATAACATTCTTTATAAATAAAAAATAAAGCAAAAATTAATTACCTCAATTGATCAATTCCTTATTATCTCATTTGATCATTTTCTTTATTGATACTTCATATTTTACGAAACAATTTTTTTTTTAAATTATGTACATTGTACGTGTTTACGTCTACTTTTAAGTTTAAAGAATTGTTATCTAAATTGAATTATTTTACATAACTTGTGATTTTATATAAGTTTGTTTTCTTAAAAGGCCCATTAGTCCGTCGTCAAGCCTGTTCCGCTTATAGGCTAAGTATGGACATGTTTAAGTTCTCATGTCCGTCAAAAAGGATTTGGGTTTGTGATATTGAACTCGTTAAACGAGAAAAAATTGGTTAGACTCGTGTCGAGCCCAACCCAAACTTACAAATAAACAGCCATAGATAGAATAGTCATATTTGTTCGATTCAACAAGTACATAAATTAATCCAAAGATTTAATCGCTCAAAATATGAACAGATTGAAACTCAGTTTAGTCACTTGGAATTTATTAAAACATTTAATTAAAACTAAATTAATATTTAAATAATATGTTAAGGTTGAAATGTGAAAATATAATGTTTTTGGTGCAGAAGTCAAAGTCCGAAGTTGCATTCTCTGCTTCCAAATTTCAATCTCTTAGAATTTTATTCATGCAATTAAATTACTTCCATCCATACACCAAGTGGTCAAATATTAACCACAATGCTTGTGTTCGATTGATTTGAGCTTGAGCTTCAAAAATCAAAAGTATCTTGAGATCTCGGGTTCGAATTCAAGAAGGAATAAAAATCTCTTCGTGTCCACAGATGTTCAAATACGGTGACTCCGGGCTACCAGCATAACGGGTGGTCGTCATGAAATTAGCCGGCTCGCATATCAGGTTGAATATCCAGGTTAATAAAAAAAAATAGTCAAATATTGCATCCAATTCAATTTTTATTTAATGCACCCCTAATTTATTTATTTTTTGAATTTTTATAAAAGAAAATTCAAATAATTAATGATATTATAAAACATCCCAAAATCCTTGTAGCAGTCCAACATTTTTTTACAAAAAAATGAATAAATTTAGTGACAGAGGCAGAAATGTGTGATTATGGATGGATGATGGTAACATCATGCCATTTTTTTTTATCGATGTACGAGTCAAATTACGCTCATCTTGATTAATTTTACAGAACCTTTTAATAACACTTAAAGGACTCGAACCGATATTGTACATCAGAAAGCAGAGGCAATCTCTTACCAGTTAAATTAGCCGTGAAAATTATATCATGTTGTTTTCTTGGTTGCTTTCGGGTGGCCAATATGCCATGGACGATTGTGCCAAAAAGTGGATTGCTGCACCTGAAACGCCTTCCTAAATCTTCCTGCTATTGTCTCCTTTTTATCTTCATGTTCCGTATCCCCCCTTGAATGCCTCAATTCGCAAACCTATATACCATCATACCAACCGTTTAATTCAATTCAGTTCGTTCCATCTTTATCCAAAAAGATATATTCAGTTGCTTCGATCAAACTCTAATAATTGCTTATGGTAATATGATTGTGTGCGCGCATGCACACACACACATATAGAAGGGGGGGGGGGGAAGAAAGTTCACGAGAAAACCCCAAAAAAATGAAATATTGATGAACACTAACCGTTCATCAGAACGGTCATGTGGATACTGTTAACATGTGAATGTTGGTTCTTGTTTTTATGCATGTGTGCTTGTTATGTTATGCACATGTGCATACCAGATAAATTGCTTAAAATTACTAGTATGCACATGTGTATACCATTCAAATTGCTTAAAATTACAAGTATGCACATGTGCATATCGTTCAGATGAATGGTTACCCGTGTGTTCATTAGTTTTTCATTTTTTTTATGGTTTTTCCTCTGAACTTAGCCCTATATGTGTGTGTGTGTGTGCATGTAGGTGGAGAACGAGAATATCTACATTTAACAAAAACACAAGAACACATTTATCACATGTGGTAATACACGTGATGGGGCCTAGTAGCGTGCACACGACTTGCCCTGCAACCTAAGTCATGTCAAAGGTCGTTTGCGTCTCTTACTTAGTATCACATGTATATCATATGTGATGGACCATAATATCACATGTGATTGACTCTAGTAAAACAACGTTCTCGTTTGAATCATTCCTCCATATATATATATATATATATATATATATAGAGAGAGAGAGAGAGAGAGAGAGAGGAGTGATCATATGAAAACCGCCCTCATTTGTGTAAACCGTGCAAACCACCTTCATCTGTCGATTTTATTGTTTAACCTTATGAAATTTTTTCATGAAATTGTTTAATCTTATGAAATTGTTTCATATAATACTTTTTTTGATGAAGTTGTTTCATATATGGTTGTGAAATTGTTTCATATAATACTTAATGAAACTGTTTCATGTATTTTTGTAACATTAATGAAACTGTTTCATGTATTTCTCTAAAATTAAAATAATGAAGATGATAATATCTATGATTAACACCCTCCACAATAAAAATGATTAATCAACCTCTCATAATTACAAAAAAATGAACAAAATGAAAAATTATGATTGGTTGAATGCGGTTTGCACGGTTTGTACAAATTGAGTGGTTTGCATTTGATCGCTCCCCTATATATATATATATATATATATATATACTTGGGATCATATGAGACCAAAGCTTTTTCGTGAAACCCGTAAGACCAATTCTCAACCTTTGGATTAGATATACAATCTCAACATTCATAATTATAAAATAGCGACAAGACTTCTCAATAATTACAAAATTGCCACCGTGCAATTTTAGACCATTATATTATTAGCCTATAAAGTTGATCAATGAACATAAATTGGTGTCACGAAAAACCCTTGGTCTCACGTGAACCCAACCCTATATATATATATATATATATGTGTGTGTGTGTGTGTGTGTGTGTAGACGAGTGACCGTGCTAAAATAAAAGTTATGGTGAGAGCAGTGAGAACAATTATGAGCCTTTCGACTTTTGATAGTTGATTTTTTAATGTAACTTAATTTTCTTCAACTGTTTTCAGTACCTTCAATTACCCTAAGGGGTAATTTATATACGTTTATCTTCAAATTCATTTTCACTTTTTAAGTCATTCACGAACTTTTACATATATTTATCTTTTTTACATGTATGAATTTGTTAAAGTTTCGATCATCATCATAAAAATCAACAACTGAATGTTAGATAAAGGTATTGTTCTCTGCTTCTTATGGTAACTTTAATTCTCGTGTGTGTGTGTGTGTGTGTATATATATATATCATACCCCATCGTTGCATGTTAACTTTTGGCCTCCTTGTTCACCAATTACGGTCTCCTTCTCTCCCTGTTCATTACCTGCAGCCATCGTTAATCTGGAAATTATATAAAGCTGTTCCATACTAATCAATTAACAGATCGAAGCTGGTTCGATTCAACACCTGTAGTAGCACGGGGGCTGGATTTAATGTACTCTCTAAAGCTCGGAGATCCAAACCATGATGAATCAACATCGGAATTCTTCCCTCCTCCTCCATTATTAGCGGTGGTGTTGATTTTTTGCAACTCCGGTGGTTTGTCGACGATCGATGATGATGATGATGGTTGAGGTGTATTTTTTATTAACAATTTGGGAGCAGCAGTGCGTTTGTTAAACGCCTCGTCCATAAGGTTGGATTTGGACATTCCGCAACCCATGGTTATGGAGGAGGATATCTAGGTTTACATATGAAGGAGGGAGGAAGGAAGGAGAAGCGTGAGATAGAAATTGGGGATATTGGGGGGAATCGGAGTGGGTCGGCGATCGAGATTATGTGATCGATTTCAGTGGAAGGAACCAAGGATGTTACGGGTATTGCGGACGTCCTTCGATCCTCTATATTTCTAATCCTACCCAACCAATCTTAATTACCACCTTCATGCTGCTTAATTTGTGTTCTATACTTTTGGCTTCTGTTTTTTATTTTAATCTCAAATCCCCATATTTCATTTATGCCATGTAATTAGGGTTATGCATCGAGCGGGTCGGACGGGTTCGATTGGACAAACCAAAATCAATCAGGTTTCGGATATGGAAAGTCAAGCCCTGGATTTTGGGTTTCAGATTCTAGATTGTTTTAGGTTGGGATCGGTTGAGTTTACGCGTAATTATATGCAAAAAATGTATATTCGATCGATTTTGATGATGGATTCAGTAAGATTGATGAATTGATATTAGCCTTAGAAATTATAACGAGCACGACTGATTAGAATGTAGGATTGTTAAAGAATAATTAGATAAACAAATGTATCTAAATAATATTTAAAGATCATATATACACATTAAGGTTTCCGGGCGGGACGGGTGGCCAGATACACCCCCAAAAGTCAAGTTCCGGATGTTCAAATTTTTAAGAGTTCGGGCTTGCACAAATACCTCATTTTCGGACAATTCGAGTTTTCGGACAATTCGAGTTTTGTAGACCCTAGTATTAATGATAGAGTAAAATACATACTTGGTCCCTAAAGTGTGTGGATTTTCATGAATTTGGTTCTTAAACTTCATTTATTACATAAAATACCTTATACTATGCACTTTCTTTTAGTTTGGTTCTTAGACCAAAAGGCCGTTCTAAATTCGAGGGCAAAATAGTCTTTTTCTTGTTATTTTTCTCTAGTTTTAACCTGTTTTATAAATAAACCTTTCTGAATTATGGACCTAAATGTATACATTGAAAGTAGAAGGACCAAATAATCAAATTGTACAGGGGTCCTTTTTGTCAATCTTCAAAACTCAAGAACACCCCCTACCCATCACCCCGTACCCCTTTGACCTGACCCTTACCCTACTCGGCTACTCCGGCTACCTTACCCACCTCCGGCGACCCTCGCCCTCTCAGCACCTCCGGCGACCCCACCTGCAACCCTACTTGGGTTAACCCAAACCCACTCCACCCAAGAACACACACACACACACACTAGCTCTCGTTCCCTTTTCTTCGTCGTCGTGAGTACCTCTTCCCAACCATTGGCTTTCTTTTCACAATCATGAGAACCTCTCGGTACACACATACACAGTGGCTTTCTTCTCCGTGGTGGGTTCGTCTCACAAAGAAGCACGGCCGTCCCAGGGAGGGCGGCACCGGCGCGTGCCCTGCCCCAAAAAAATACAATACTAGTTTAAAAGAATTTAATAAATTAAAGAAAACAAAAAACCGTAGCATATAATAAGAGGCAAAAAGAATTTAGTAGATAATAAGAGCTCAAAAATATATCAATTAATTACATTGAAGGGAAAAAATAAAAAAAATTAATTGGTCATTCATTATATGTTATTGTTTATTACCTCTCTAATTTTTTTTTCTTGATAAAGTCCAATGATATTAGTTATTGCTATCTTTATATGTTTGATTGTTTTCGCGCTTCAACAGTTGAATGTTAAGATGATGTGCTTGCTATTTTTATATATTTTTGTTGTATATTTTTATAAATTTTTGCTTCTATTGATTATTGTTATTTGGTTATCTTGTTCTAATTGTTTTTATTGACTTTTGTTATCTATTTTTGCTTCTACATACAATATTTTACTTTGTTTGACAGTCAATATATTGTTTTTTTTTATAATTTATGATGTGTTTCATTGTTTTATGATTAATCAATAAATTTTTTCTCTTATATATGTTTTGTTCCATAAACTTTTAATCTTAACATCTTATTTTAGTTGAGCAAAAAAAAAAATAGAATTTAGATATATTCATCAATTGTTTGTCTTATGTATATTTCATTGGAATTTCACCACATCACAAGATTCTATTTAAGTGCTCAAACAATTATTTGTTGAGCTTGCATATTATATGTTTAATTCAATATTTATTCTTACTGGATCTCAATGGATTATCTTTACTTTCATATTCTTATTGATCCTCATCTCATCTATCTACTTGTTTAGAGAACCTTGATAATTATCTTTATTATTGATCTCTAATCGACCCTCACAATTACTTCATTCACACAAATTCTCTCTTTGTATCAAAATAACACATATTTCTTGTTATGAACTAAAAAAATTCTTACTTTTTATAAAAATTTATCAACCATAGTTTCTATACTCTTGGTTTCAAATTACCTAATAAGAAGTACGTAAATTTAAGTACTATGTTATCTATAATAAAAGTAAATAAGATTTCTTTCCTCAGTAAATTATTAGCATTTATTGTACTTAATTTTATACTAATAAAAACATTTATTGATTTTTTTCATACTTATCGAGGGTCACTACAAGAAAAATGAGCTTTGACGGTGCATCTTCTAGCGATGACATGTTTCCTTCACAAGTTATAGCGACGACATGTTGTTGTTATATACTATTTTTAATGATAAATAGACTTTTAGCGACGACAAAAATCGTTGCTAAAAGCCTTGTTTTCTTAAAGTGTGCCCTGTTTTTCCATTCACTCAGGACCTATAAAATGTCAGAAACGGGCCTGCAAAGAAGGAGGGGGTTCGCTGGAGCAGTAGTGTCGGGGTAGGAGTACGGGGATGACGGAATTCTCTGGAAAGATCGCCGCAAATAACGCCGGTATTGGTGCCGGAGATTTGTTGATGAAGTAAATTCACGCCGGCGGTAGGTCAGTGGAGAAGGCGAGGATTTTTCGTTTATAGTCCCATGCCACGTGGCATTATTTAATTGGTGTTTAGAAAATATAAAAAGACAAAATGTAGAAAAAATAAAAAGAAAATAGATGACTTTTTTGCCCGGAGACGAAATTCAAAAGAAAATACATACCATAAAGGCATTCTATGTAATAAATGAAATACGAAATATAAGGGGTTCTTTATTAAACACTTATTTGGTAAATGCTTAACGCATAAATTATCTCATCAGGTGAATGTTAGAAGGGCCAAGAATCTCACCGGGTAAGAGCGATGAGAAAGATGGAGAGTCTTACCCGGTAAGTGAGGATGGAGACTCTTACCCAGGTAAACGCTTACCCAGTAAATTGTTACATTCGATATGTTTTGATGTACTAAAATCTTACGCATCAAAATAAATTATAGTGTTGACTCCTATTAGTAAGCGTTTATCGGGTAAACATCTAGGTAAACGGCCCCTAAATCCATAAAAATCCACATGGCACACAAATCAACTTTGTAATTTACTAATAATTATATATGGTTGGATTCCGTAAGAAAGAAAGTTATCGTGAGAAAGATGAGAAAAGATCTCCACTCTTATATCAATCCTAATAAAAGATCAACAGTAACGAGATGGAATCAAATGCATCAGATCAATTCTCGTATCAATAGCAATTCATGATGTGCGGGTGAGATTAAAAGTGATCAATGGTCAAAATCAATTCTTACCTTTTCACCTTTAACTCTTATTCTCAAATGATCTTTCCTCATATTATATATTACCTTTCATTACATTTTAATCAAACGAAAGGATTGTTGACAAGATTTTAATAAACATTTTCCCCAATGTATTTGAGTTGGTCGATCGATAAATAAACAATAAACTAGCAACTTATAAGGTCCGAATTGGATTAAGACGATCTAGCCTCAACCCATTTTGCCAATAATACATACAACATTCAAACTCCTCCTGAGAGATGATCAAAAATGGGTCTCAGACGTGGGTGATCACAAACTGATCCCTTCAAAATAAAGCCAGCCGGTCCCAGTTCCAACTAAAAAACCTAGGACTGACTTAAGACCAGGTACTGGTCCCAGTCCTAGACACAAGTCCTTTTTTCAAAACATCTTTTACATAATTGTTGGTATAAAACTGTAACCGACATACTAACGTTGGGCCCGGCCCACTCCATACACAACTGTTGGTCTAAGACTCTAAGCTACTAAAGCTAGCATACTTGTTAATGAAAAACAAAAATGTTATAAATAAGTCATCGTATTCTTTGGGGAAAATAGATTTGGGATCACGTGAAACCAGTCTGTTTTCGTGAGACCATCTTTTTATACTTGAAACTTCACAACAAAACGCTATGAAAGTCTTGAGCAATAGATTTGTTAAAGAAGATTGGGATGATAATGTAGCATATACTTAAGCAATAATTGTTTCAAGTGTAGGTGTTAGCGTTTAGGTCGTGCTTTGGTAGAATCAGGGTTGGACCTATTAGGTGTTGTGCGAACTCCTGTGTATCCGTTCACTCGGTTATCGATTTTGAAGGATGTCTTTAAATACATTGAAACCGACTATATAACCTAAATTAATCACGGGTGAGATAGTTGGATTACCACTCCACGTGCAAAATGTCGTGAGTTTGAATCTAATTTCAAGTGAAACCTTAATTTTTATTTTAGGCTCCGGTGCCGGCCCATGGCATTTACTCCGGCCTTACAATTTGGTATATATATATATATTTTTTTTTTTTTGTAAGGGTGTCCGGGCCAAAGCCCGACTAATCCCCGACAAATTTGGAGGCTAAACATGGCCCCACTTAAATGTCGCCAACACTTCTCTCCCAGGGCTCGAACTCGGGTTCATGACTATGTCATGCCCAAGCCTTTACCACTAGGCTGGAAGGTCTTTGACTGGTATATTTTTCTTTACTTTGCCTTTTCTCACCTATTGCATTTACTCAGGCCTTACAATTTGGTTTTTGAAAATATTAATAGCAAAAATATTGTTAGAAGGATCAAACTCACAACCTTAGATCGTCGTTTTCTTGTTAACTTTTCTCCCATTTTTGATTTTTTTTCCATTATTTCTTTTGCCAAATGCCAATTTAACTTAAAGATCGTCGTTTTTTATCTCATTTTCAAGGTCGATTTATTTGAAAAGTGTGTACTTTATTCCTCAAATCGATATAATTGGCTTTTCCTTATGTCAAAATGCGTTGACTTTCTCTCTAGGTCAAACCGCGATTGTTCGTGCCTTTCGATCCACCTTAAACATGCACCCGCTTACAAAAATTTCTGGATCCTCCATCAGGTAACGATAAAATGAATTAAAGAAAATAAAGAAAAATAACTTGAAATTATAATTCTCGCTTCTTTTACAAATCAAGAGAAACGGAAGGTTAACTCTCCAAACCCAAACGATTTTTATGTGATGTATTTGTTGGAAACGGGAATGATAAAAAAAAAATCATAAAAGCGTAAAAAATAATATCGATGTAAATGTCGATTTTTGTGTTTATCCAAGTTTACAGTTAAAACCCTCGTATTTAATGATTGAAAAACCGATCATTTTGTACTAAGGAGCTTGTTTTTCAAATATTTGTGACGGTAAAAATAAGAAATTGAACATAACGAGAAGCTTACAACAAGTTGTTGGAAATCAAGTCCCAACCTTAAAAAAACACGCCAAAAAGACGACGCACAAAGAAGGCTTTCGATATAAATTATCCTAAGTATGAGTTGTCTATTCAACGATTTGAAAATAAGTTCAACTATTTAGACTTTGTGCAGGTCGTTAATTAATTATCAAACAAACTTTTTTTTAAAGAAAGTTATATAATTTTATTTTTATTTGATAAATATATAATATTCTAGAAAATCAAAATGACATGAATATTGATCTTTAAACATGATTGGGTCTATTATAAAAAAAAATCTAAAAAGTTGATATATAATATTTATATACGTCAAATAAAATAAATAAACTTACATACCCTATTCATTTGTGGTCAGGTTTGAAACCCTAGGAGTTCAAAGACTCACATACCAATAGGGCTATAAACGAATCAAACGTTCAGCGAACCGTTCATGAATCGTTCGGCGGAAAGTTCATTTACGTTCGTTTATTTAATAAATGAACGGACATGAACAATTTTTTTTGTTCGTTTAGTTAAACGAACGAATATGAACAAAAGTCTCGTTCGTTCATTTATGTTCGTGAATGTTCGTTCATTTACCGTTCGATTATATTCGTTCGTTTATGTTCGTTTATATACTAAATTTAATATATAATTTTTTGTTTATATACTTTGAATTCAAATAATATTTATTTATGTTCGTTTAGCATGTTAACGAACGAACATAAACGAACACGAGCATACCTGATTTCTAAACGAACGAACACGAATACAAAGATTTTCGTTCGTTTACCGTTTGTTTGTTCGGTTAAGTTAAACGAACGAACATGAACAAGCCTCTGTTTGTGTTCATTCGGTTCGTTTATATCCCTACATACCAATAGGCTAAAGGCCCTTTGGTGAGTAGCTCCATGTTCCTCGAATGGATCTCTTAGTTGTTGTGAAGGTTGCCCAAAATCGGTATCTAAAAAACAAATTTTCATTTTGATAAAAGTTTTTATCGAAAATATTAAGGAAACTTCGCAAAACCTATTATAGTGTCTCCAATCTTGGGAAATAAAAAACACTAAATATGGTTAACCCGTTAATGAAAAAAAAAAAACCCAATTTCGTTCACACCTTAAAAAACATCAAATTTAAGGTTTGAGAATGATTTTCTAGGAAAAATGATGGCCCACGGCTTTTGCAGTATGAAAACTCACACGGCATTAGTTAGAGGCAAATTTGATGATTCGCCGGTCCATTGAAGATGCTCTTGAAAATTGAATGTAAAAGGATTTCAACATTAAATCCCACTGCAATAACCTTGTTGATTCAAACGGTTTGAAAATCTAATAAAAATTTGGATTTCCCCATTAAGACGTCTTAATAAGTTTTGTCGGATTTTCCAGATTTTTTGTTTTCAGCTATAAATAAACGAATTTGAGAGAATATGACAAAAAAATGTTATGTTTTAAAAGACTTTGTCATGCAACTAAGGGGGTGTTTGGGATTGCTTATTTGAAACATCTTACAAAACCACTATTACCGGTTTGGTAGCAGTATAAGTTGTTTTTCCAAACACTCAAAAGTGCTTATTACCAATGTCACATCGGAATAAGTCAATAAATTGTTTTGCAGAATAAAATGATTGGAAAAAGGTCGCATAATAGAAAGAAAAGCTATGCATTATGTTCATAAGAAACAATTTTCACATAGCATCTCAAATGGATGTGGCCCCGATTCATAACCTATTTACACAACTGGGTATATATGGAAAAGGGCTCACTCCAAGCGACATAAACTATTTCCATCGATCAATGTTGTATCACTTGTGAGATCAAGTTCAATAGAAACGACAACTCGATCCCTCGACCATCCTCCTCGTCCGTCTTTTCCCTTTTCTCGTCATCACTACCCTTTCTCGTCTTCGTTTCACCAATCGCCCTCGTTATCTCTTCCACAAGATCAACAATCACCCCGTCTACTCCCATAAGTTGTTGAACATGCACCGTTTCCGAGAAATTACTGTTCCAAATATACAAAAAAAAAAAAGAACCCAATTTTAGCTTTCTTAAATCAGATCAAATCAAACAAACTCAGTATATTTAAACTATTTAACTACTTACTTCAACTTCCCATATGTGAGAAGGGAAAGATTTGACCCTTTGATCTCTCTAACTACTGAGGGGTTTCTAAAAATTGCCTTAACTTCTGAAACTATTCCATCCAATCTACCCTCTAATGCCAACTTCTTGGCTTCCTCCAACGAATTCCTTCGAACATCATCGTACACCTCGTTTCCTCCATTCGTCAAGAAGTAAACCTGTTTTTAATTTCAATCGGTTTTGATTCAGTTAACCACGAACATATATAAACACCAAAAACAAACCCATCTTGTTCGAATCGAGAAAGAACATATACTCACAGGGTATCTGTGTTGAAGTTTCTTCATAAGTAAGGCTGCATCAGGTTGGAAGCTTGAAAAAATTATAGGTCTATCTTTAGCATTCTCAGAAACCACCTGAAAAGAGCAAGTTTTGATCAATAACCCAGATCACAACTTGTGATTGATTAATTGATTCAATTATGTATATGTATATGTATATGTATATGTATATGTATATGTATATGTATATGTATATGTATATGTATATGTATATGTATATGTATATGTATATGTATACCTTCATGATGACTTGAAGAACATGGATGAGATGATCTTGTTCATAGACAACATTGTCATCAAACTTCAACTCTATGTTAAATCCAATGCAAGGGTTTACTTTCTGGAAAGCTTCTTGTAGAGTACACAGATGATCATCAGATTCGACATCCCACCCCACAATCTTGCCATTTACTTTTCTAACTAAAGATTTCCCCTCTTTGCCTGCTTCCCTTTGGGGGCCATAGCTGAAGAATTCGTTAATCGTCAAATCAGTGGCTCTCTTCTCAAATACGGTTCCCTGAAAAACGATTCGATCTACAATTAGTACAAGAACACAGCATAATCATGGTGATCAATCAGATCGATTAATTAACTAAGCCACCATTAAGCAACTCACATGTTCTTGAGAGAGGATGAAGTTATCGTGAAAAATGATTGCTACATCATCTTTAGTCACCTACAAGAAATTCACATTCAATGTTAATTTTACCGCCATAGACGATCTACAAGAAGACAAAATTTTCAAAGAAGACAAGAAAGTAATTTGTACTGTTCGATTGAACACGAGATAAGCTATGGAGTACGACCGATCGATGATCGGAGGTATGAACTCAAGGAAATGATACATGCTAATGCATCGACGAGATCAAAGGCATTCAAACTCGATAGAATAATTTATACCTGAACGTCAAACTCGATATAATCGATCGGATGCTTGGCCGCGTTATTGAACGAAAGAATTGAGTTCTCCTTAAACGCCTTCATTCTCCGATCTGTCGACTGTAATATATTCATGCCGTGGCCTCTATGACCGATCACCGTAAATTTCGGAAAGCTTTTGCCATTTTTACTCACATCCACACCTGATTCGTGAAGAAAAAGTTAAACAAAATCCATATCAACTTCACATACGAACAACTATTTTTTTCAAATTTAGAATGAAAAAATCGTACCAGTAGGTCGGCGTGTGGCGTAGAGCGACAATGAGGCAGCGTTTTCCGGCACATGATCGAGATTTGGTACGTCGGAGACATGAACGGCCTTGGTAGCCATTTTTAACCAGAAAGTAGTGAATTGAAAGGGGTTAGAATACAATTGGAGGAAGGGTTGCGGAGAAAAGAGGGGTTTGAAAAGGGTATTTAAGCATCAAGGCAATGTGAATCACCATGGGAGAGAGGAATACATGGAGGATTGGATCTTCCCACAGAATATTCCTCTCCCCTTCCGAACCTTCCCTCTTTTCTCCTGTTGTTGTATTGATTGATGCGTTTATGCTTTGGATATTCGCATTCCCAACAAACCTGCCTTTTTATAACGCCATTCATCACACGCTTTTAACCGATCCGCATATTCCGTTACTTCTTTTTGACGGATGTCTATTCTTCTTGCTTTTTTTTCAATCTTTCGTCTACGTCAATAAACGACATCCACTTCTTGTAACGGTATTTCCGCTCCATTGAAATTAATAGCAACCGTAAATCTTGGTTAAATCATAGAAATTGGAGTAAATTACATCTTTAGTCCCTATACTTATATGTCTTAACGACTCTTGTTTTTATTTATGGAAATTCACAGATCGTGTCTCACTTTGGTTGCATTTTTACAATACAGCGACCCAGATTGATGATCTGTCTATGGACCGAGCACATTAAAAACAGTGTAATCATAGGGATCCAGATTGTTGATTTATCAAGGGACTGAACACATTAAAAGATTGCAATCACATGGAGTCATGGACCCGACTCATTAAAGGAAAAGCAACCACAGGGATTTAACTTGTTAAAAAAAACGCAATCACAAGGACAAATTCGGTTAAATTTTCAAAAAAGACGATAATTGTTAAAAAAAAAAAAAACACTTAACCACAGGGGTAAACATGTAATTTACTCTAGAAAATTATGCATTAAAAGTCATGATTAATTTTAGAGTAAATTGTGTTTTTGTCCTTACTGTTTATTAGAACTTGCAACTTTCATCCTTACAATTTTGGTCCCTGTAATTTATAATCATTACTATTTTCGTCCATAAGGTTGACTAAATTTTAAGTATTACAGAACAAACAACAAGTAATTATAAATCATATGGGCTAAATAACAATAAATTAAAAATTATAAGGATTGAAAAATAATTTCATTAAACCATAGAGATGAAAAACTTAATTTAATATAAAATAATTTTATATAAGCATTTTATATATATATTTTTAAATATAAATGCTCACACACTCCTTATTTCTCACCATGTTTTAAATTCTTATTTAAAAGATTAGGTTATAATTAATACGTAATTTTTAGACATAAATAAGCATTACAATTTTTAGTTCATTAAAAGGTTGTTTGACAGTTGCTGAATAGTTTGGTACCGAATTATTAAGTGGTTATAATGATTAAGAGATTCTCGTAATATAATGCAAAATGAAATATAATTATTCGATAATTATTTACAATAGAATTAGGGTGTTGAATGGTTATGGGAGACACAAGACACAAAATGATTCAAAGAGTTTTAAAACCATTAAGAAACAAACTTTTTTTACCAAACAAAATTTACCTCTTAACGATTTAAAAAATTATCTATTATTAGGAGGTAAAAAAGAAACTTTATCTTTAAATTAATTTATTAAATAAAAATAAAGTGAAATTTTCATTATTTATTTTTAAAGCTAATATTTTAATATAAATGAGTTAAAATTTTCTGCAATTTTTATCCTTCTGGAAATATAAATCCAAAATAAATAAAATAAAATATTAGAAAAAAAACAAAATAGGATAAGTTGGGAATTGAAGTGTTGCTGTTCAACATATGTGGACGACTGTCAATAATCACGTGGCATGAACATTGAGACCGGAATTTTTTAATCAGCCTGCATTTCCAATAATAATTCATTTTTATATTTATTTCTAGAATATCATCACCGTCATTATTTAAAATTATAATATTATTTTAAAAACCGATTATCCGCATCAAATTATAGTGGTGGGGTCCACGCCTCTGAATGGAAAATGTCGAAGCTCCATGAGATGTATTTGAACTTTTTGGGCCCCACATCGCCCCATTTCGGAGACGACAAACGTTCGTATCTCCGACTGCAAATATTGTCGTTGTGGTTCTTTTCATTTCAAAGGACATGTTCTCTAATTACATGCAAATAAAACTCATCAAAACTTTATTTTTAATTCGTATAATTAATTGCAGATAAAATTAATTAAATACATGATAAACATCTTATTTTAAATATAAAAAATCTAAAATATAATTAAGAAAATATTGAGTTCTAACATAACACTTAATTATTATCTTTATAAAAAATTATATTATTAAACCCGCTTATTTTCAACTCCCCAAAGCATTTCGTCGCTTACTGTGTTTTTCCTTGGCGATATAAAATTCGTCCACCGGGGTACGGGGTAATAATAATAATAATAATATGCATTTTCTTTAAAATATTTTGCAAGCCCATGGTTTTCCGGTGAGAGACAAAACAAGCTCTTTTATTTTGTTTTTTTAGAAAGAGGGTTTTCAAACAAAGATGTAAACGTGTTTTTCATTTTTTTACCTTTTTGATCTTCGAATTTTCTTGATTATTAAAGGTAATCGATTTAACGTTATCAATTTGTTTTTTTATTAACTTGGATATCTAACTCGCTATGCAATCCGGCTAATCTCAGGACAATCACCTGTTTTGCAGAATGTCCGGAGCCACCGTATTTGAACCTTTGCGGTCATAAGGGGATTTTTATTTCTTTTTGGATTTGAACATGTGATCTCCTGGTACCTTTGACCTATGGAGTCAAGTTCAAACCAGTCAGACACCACCCTTGTGGTTCGTTATCAAATTGTTAATCTTGCCTCTGGTGTTTAGACTATTATTCCTCGCGAGATGTGCTAAATTTGTTTATTTTGATGTTTTTATGATGTGAACTTTGATACTGAGAGAATTCGAGAGTTAACAGAGTTTCCCGTAGATCATTGGAAAAGAAGAAAACGAGCTCGAGAGAAGCTTGTAATTCTGCACTTGAAACTGAAAAACAGTTCCTGGCATGACTTCTCCCACGCCTTGTGTCGCGTACAAGGTCGTGAGCACATTCTGACGGGTCCTGAAAGAATTGCATTTATTTATTTTCTTAATTAGTTTAAAGCAATTATTTAATTTAGTTGTTATTTTTCAACTTTATATTTAAATTAGGATTATTATTAGTTTATTTTTTATTTTTATAATTGATTTAGATCTGGATGATATTTGAATTTAATTTCAGTCTTATCGTTTAGTTAGTTTAGGTTATAAATAGGGTTCAATGTTTTCAGTTTCTTATTAATGAGGTATTTAAGATTGCTTATTTAAAACAACTTATGTTTTTCTTTTTGAAAAATGGTTATCAACTTATGCGGGGTCAGATCGGAGTTCTATAAAATGTGTTTGGATTAGTTTATGCCTACCAAAACGTAATAAATTGATAAGTTGTTCTAGTGGTTGGCAATTTTTGCTTAAGCATGTAAAATGACCAAAAATGACATGAGTAAGAAAGAACTGTGTTCGAAAGTCGCTTACGTGAGGAAGAACTATCGATTTTGATTTCTTTAGGAACTCGTCGAAGATCGCTTCTTGAGGAAGGAGGAACTGGGTTCAATTTCTAATTTTGTTGGTGAAGTTCAATTCAATATTTGTTGATGAACTGGTTGATTTTGATTTATGTAGGTGAAGGTTTTGATTGAAGGTTCGGTTTCGATTTCTGTAAGTGAAGGTTCCGATTGAATTTTGTAGGTGAAAGTTTCGATTGAAGGTTCAATTTCTGCAGGTGAAGGTTTCAATCGACTTCGGTTGATCTCTTTAGGGCATACGTATCTAATGAGAAGGTAATTAAGGTTTAAGGTTAAAAAGGTAAATTGGTTTCTGCAACTAATAAGTTGAATCTAATAGGTTAGAATGAACTAACTTATTAGAAAACTCCTAATTACTGGTTTGACACCAGTATAAACATTTTTTCCTCATCCAAACACAAAAAAATGTTTATTACCGGTACCACATCGGAATAAGTTGGTCTCTGTTGTTTATACCCAAATACAAACAACTAGGGGGTGCTCATGAGTTGGGTTGATCGGGTTGAAGACATTTGAACAACTCAAGCCAATACTTGCGGTTTGAAAAATCTTAACCCCAACCCAACCCGAACCAAAGTGCTACCCAACCCAACCCGTACGGGTTGGTGGGATTGATACTTTGGTACATTAAAATATTCTTCTAACCTAGAATATGTTATTTCTCTACTCATACTTTCTTTTTCATCATCAATCATTTGATACAAACTTATTCATATTTCTTACGTATATCACATTCAGTTAATTTTCTCAATTACATATATATGTTCACAGTTATTGAACATATATGCGAATGAGTTATATAAAGATGTGAATATATTGAAAATATATGTATATAAATAGCATACATGATAGTGTAATTGTCTAATGTATATATTAATAGAAATTCAACAATCATATGAAATCCAAGAAATAAAAAGATATTAGGTTCATCGGGTTGTGTTGGGTTCAAATAATAGTAACCTAATATCAATTCAGTACCTACTGTTTGATAATTTTACAACTCGATTAGACATCGAGTTGTTTCAAGTTAAGTTATTTCGTGTTGGGTTGATCAGATTGTTCGGGTTTTTGAGCATCCCTACAAACAACACTCTTAAACTTTATTAAGTATAATAATGGTCACTCTGGTTTACATTGTAATTTGAAAATGGTTAAAAATCTCAACTAAATGAGGATTAATTATGTTATTTTATTCATCTGTTTTGTCTTTTACCCAAATTTATATTAAGGACCAATTTTGTAGTTAGGTGTAAACTACAAGGACCAAAATTGTAGCTTACTCAATCTTATATTTATTTAAATATGATGTTTAGATGTATGATTTTCAATAACTAGATAATTATTTAATTAAATTTAAGGATAATTCAGTAACTTCTAATGAATTTGCAACTTCATATCTACTTCTCCAAATATGAATTATTTAGGGGTTGTTTACCAAAAGCTTACTCGAGTAAGTGAACATCAAGTCACATTACTTTACTGGATGAATATGGTAAAAACCAAAAAATTTACCCGGTAAGAGCGACACAAGGACTAAGAATCTTACCCGGTAATAACGACACAAGGACCAAGAGTCTTTCCCGGTAAGTGAATGCGACGACCCTTACCACGGTAAGCGATTACGGGGTAAATTGTTGCATATAATACCGTTTTGGTGGACTAAAATCTTATCCGATAAGTATATAATAGTGTTAAATTTTACCAGTAATTACTTACCCAGTAAGTACTTACCGGGTAAGTGTTTGATAAACGACCCCTTAGACAAAAAGGTCTCGAAAATCATAATTATATCAATCACAATGAAACTAATGATTCCAATCAAACAATACCAAAGGTTCTTTGACCTAATGGTATCGTCGTCTCTGGCTTTCTAAGAGGTTAGGGGTTCAAAACCTCACTAAAGATGAACAATATATGAGTTTATTTGTTGCATTTATCGTATATAAATATTATATACTTTAAAAAGAAAAAGAAGGTTGGATCAAAACACACATGTACACCATAAATCCCAACTAAATTTGTACAAAAATGAACCTAAAACCTACCAATCCATCTTTCCATAAGCCAATCCTAAGTCTCAACCTATCTACCATCAGCCAATACTATATAAACCAAACTCATCAGTATATCTTATCCAAAACTGGGTTCTGAAGTGGGATGTACGCAGATTTGTCATCTACCTAAAAAGTAGCGCCGTTGTTCTTATAATAAGCAAATACTATATATTCCTTCCAAAAAGATTAGTTGCTGTTTTCGGGCTAATGTCTGTATCTCTCTCCCCACATTTTCGCCTCTGCTATTGCCTTGGCTCGTTCATCCTCGTCTTCCTCTTTAAACATATCATCTTCATCGTCACCTGAATCTTCGTTTGCAATTAATCTGCTCTGCCGTCTCTGACCCTTACTCGCATTCGGGTCCGACAAAGATGCCACGAAACCCAATGCATCGACAACTTCATTCATGTCCGGTCGTTTTTCTTGATCATCATCCATACACATCAATGCCACCTCCACGACCTTTCTTACAGGTCGCTGCATGAACTCTCCTTTCATCCGTGGATCTGCTAATTTCACGTATTTCCTTTTATCCATCAACATTGGCTTCGCCTAAACAAACACAAAAACAAGCAATTAGGTACCTAGTGATAGGGTTTGTTTGGTATGCGGGACAGTACAAACAAAAACTTGTTGTCCCACGTTTGGCGCAACATTAGACTTTGACAAAATAGGACTGAGTCAGCAAAAATTAGGGAGATGGAACAAGATTGGTAAATTATTAAACTACCCACGTCAGTTTAAAACCCTAAAACCTTTCACAGTTCTTTCACCGGCCTACGGCACTCTCGCTGGTACAGTCTCGTCCCACGTCATGTCACTTTCCGGTCTGCCAACCAAAGGCAGCCATAAGCCCATAATAACCAAACCATATGGATCTGGTATATCCCGCATATAAGTAGGGTATGGGGATGCAGACCTTGTAACTATCCCAAAGGGTAGAACGGCTGTTTTATTGAAGATCCCTGGCTTGCAAAACAAAAACAAAATAAAAAGAGACAAACGATGCCCGATGATTATTCTTAAGAAAATGATGTACCCATTCGATAAGATATTGACCTCCTTCCTCTGATCTGTCTAAAGCCTGTCTTCCAGTCACTAGTTCCAATAGAACCACCCCGAAACTGTATGTATCGGACTTTATTGTTAGGTGTCCTGTAAACCCATACTCGGGTGCACAGTAGCCCATCGTCCCCATCACCCGAGTTGATACGTGTGATTTGTCACCCAATGGCCCAAATTTAGCCAGACCCAGGTCAGAAATCTTTGGGTGGTACCCTTCACCCAATAATATGTTGGCTGATTTCATGTCCCGATAGATGATACGAGGTTCACAATGATTGTGCAGGTAGTCCAGGCCTCTAGCTGTTCCTACAGCTATCTTCATTCTTGTATTCCAATCTAGTGGCTTCATATTTGGCTTAGGATCTGGCGAGGAACAAATCAAATGAAAACTGTTAGGATATGTGGAATCTTTTTTGATCTCTCTCTAAAAAAGCCCTTATAGAGAGAGAGGAGAGGTTCCTATGTAGCGTGTCCATGTGGTAGACCCCGCCTCTGATACTATGTTATGATATATATGTAACCCTTTTGAATTCTCTATAAAGATCCCTTAAAAAGAGGAGAAGTTTCTACATGCATGCACAAACACACACACACACATATATATATATATATATAGAGAGAGAGAGAGAGAGAGAGAATGTGTGCGTGTCTAGATCATGTGAGAAATTTCACTTCCGTGAGAAGGGAGAATAAGTGAAGATACATCTATAACATATGAATGTTATGTTTTGTGAAGATTGTATCTTTCACATTACTTTCAAAGGTGTATTGAAAGGTTACTTTCAATATTGTGTGAAGCTATATCCACAGTTCTCATGACAAACCTTCAGTCCTTCACACAATATGAAGATGTTTTCAAGTTCTCGCATTCTAATGAAAAAGGTGTTGTTCTCACGGAACCCAACCTATATATATATATAGAGAGAGAGAGAGAGAGAGAGAGAGAGAGGCAGGTTCAAACGAGAACAATACCTAAATAAGAAAATAAGAAAACGGCCAAATCACGTGCAAAATCAGATGTGATTTTCCATTAACGACCAACAAAAGGGAGAGCAGGCAACGTGGCCTGCGACAAAGTCACATGAATCACATATGATTGTATACGTGATTTTAGTGTAAAATCACATGTGATTTGATCGTTTTCTTATTTTGTTATTTAGGTACTGTTCTTGTATGAACCTAACTCTCTCTCTCTCTCTCTCTCTCTCTCTATATATATATATATATATATGTTTGGCTGATATGGGACTCAACAATCATCTATTTCTAAAATTAATGTTTTATGACACATTACCATGTAGATGATCTTCCAATGATCCTAAAGGCATGAATTCATAAACAAGAAGTTGTTTGTCACTCTCTGAGCAATATCCAATCAAAGTAACAATGTTTGGGTGACACACCATCGAAAGCATCGTGATTTCTGCTTGAAATTCCTTATTCCCTTGTATACCATCATGACTTAGTTTTTTGACAGCAACAACCTGACCATTTCATCACTACATCAAAAGTTAAAACATATGAATTGAAGGTTGATAGGTGGAGAAAGTTAATTACTTGGTTCGGGTTCTCTAGCTTTCCTTTATATACTTGGCCAAAGCCACCTTCTCCAAGAAATGCATCTTCCCTAAAATTACGAGTAGCCTTTACAAGTTCGTGGTAACTGAATTTTCTTTGTTTCCTTACAATGGTATCCGGAGGATTATCAACCTTCAAAGGTTTTGTTCTTGATTCCTGCTCCGTTGTTTTTGTTCTGGACTTTTCCTTTGATTGCTTGGGCAACTCATCATGCACCTTTTGAACTGCATCAACACCATATATAGAATCCAAAATCAAAAGGATGGAATCAGCTTTAGCCTAACGATTAAGTAGCAGGCAAGGAGGTGTAGGAAGAAGCATTTTAACTTTCACGGTATGATTGGTACGCGGACGGGATCGGATTGGACAGGCGAGAGTGAAGTAGGCGGCAGTGAAAGAGTCCCGGAAGGTTTTAGAGTTTTAATTTGATATGGGTAGTTTAATAATTTACCAATCTTGTCTCATCTCTTTGATTTTTGTTCCACCTATTCCGGTGGGACAAAAATGCATTTTTGTTCCACTTAGGTCTAATATCGTGCCAAATGTAGGACAACAAGTTTTTGTTCCGCTTAGGTCTGTCATGTCTCATTCTATTGATGCTCCAAATGCTCCACTCAGGTCTTGTCTTGACTCAGCCCAATGACGCGCAACAAGTTTTGTACTCTCGTCCTGTCTCGCGTACCAAACACACCCTCAATGTCAAACTATGATAGAAGATTTTTATATAATTTTCGTTACAAACATCTTCCGCAACATATCTACTATTTCTTGTGTCAATTTATTCTTCGGGAATATTGATTTTGAAGTTAAAGCATACTGCATTCAAGCTCAAACAGGAATTCGAAGGTCCTCAACAAGATTTCTGTGTCTTAATTAACCAGTAAAACCATCAACTAATTAACCAGTTAAGCTACAATTTCATTGATGCATGTTTCCAGGTCACTTCAAACCCTAATGATTAACCATGATCCTTGTTCAATCTTTGTTACGATTCAATTAAACATACAAAACATGAACTTCGGTAATTCGTAATCAATTCATCATATAGGGAAGAAAATAAACATGAAGATCAGAAATAATCGACGACTGATCCAATTCTATTAAAAACCTAATATTGGACATCCAATTATCCAATTCAGAAACATAAAGAGAAAATTCAGACGAAGAAGAAATACATACATATATATAGAGATATAGACCTGTAGGAGCACTGGTGGCATCTGGTGGTTTCAAATTATTATGTTCCTCGGAAACGCCATCGTCGTCGGGGTTAACCTTCCGATGGCGGGGAAAGCACAGACATGATAGTCCTCCCATCTTCTCCCACCTATCATGAATAATTGCCTTCAAACCCCCTGTTCTGAAAAGCATTTTCTAACCCAAATCGAGGCACCAACATAACAGCGGCAAATTATACACGCAAGGATCATAGGGTTCTTGGGTGTTTGTTTATGGCAAAGATATTCAAAAGCTCAAAACAAGAAGTAAAAAAAGAGCACCTATCAAACCAGGGCTCTATATACCTGTTCATCATGTTGTGCCCGCAAAACACTCGCACACCTGAATTTTACCCTAAGATGAATAAACTCCGGAAATTAACGTTGGGTTCCGGAAACAAAAGGAACGGGAAGAAGAGGGAAGGGTATAAAGAAAGCAAAAAAACAAACGTTTTTAGAAAAGAAAAAAAAATGAACGGGAATAGAATTACTACAAAGATGTTTATGTAATGCAGCGAGATGTATATCGATATAAATGTTTCGTTTTATTCTTATCTTTATCGATGTCAGAATATGATTTAATGTAGTTTTAAGAAAACGATAATATTTTTATTTTTAAATAAAATATAAATTTTAAAGATATTATAAATTTGAACAAATAATATAATATAATTTTTGGTTCAATAACGTAATTTTTTAAGTTTAATAACGAAATAATTTATTTTTAATTTAATTTTTTATAAAGATAATAACTAAATATTCTGTTATAACTGAATAATTATTCTGGTTATATTTTAGATTTTTTATAATTAAAATGATATGTTTATCATGTATTTAATCATTTTATTTGTAGTTAGTTATACGAATTCAAACATAAAGTTTTAACAATCTACTTGTAATCTTGAATTTTAAGTAATATGCATAAAAAATTGTCTTTAAGAGTTTCTGTAAAATGCTTTATAATATAGTATAGATTCGATCTTTCATTCTAATTGATATAATTTTAAAGGATATATTATGTAACTAGGTTCGACCCTGTGTATTATACAGAGTATTTTAAATGAGAAAAACTCTGAACATTTACTCTGAAACACAATAATTCAGAGTTCTATTGTTAGGCTGAAAAATTACTCTAGACTTAACTATGAATGAAATAAATTCAAAGTTGTCTTCTAGTTATAGAAAGTATCTACGAGAATAACTCTGAGTCACAAGAATTTTGACTTCTTATAACTCATAAACGTAACTTTGAACTTCAACTCTGAAAATGAGTTTAGAGTTGTATTCTAAGTATGGGAATAAACTATATAACTAAGTTTGGAACAGAACAATTCAGAGTTATGTTGTAAGTCTGAGAAATAATCAATATCTTCTGACTTCATGTTGGTGATTTGTATCACTAACGTCATTTAAGTGTAATGATATTAAATTGTTTACCAATGTAATCATGATAAATATCGAACAGGTAAGACAGGTGCGGAGTGTGTTTGAGTTTATTTTGATTTAGGGGGTTCGGGGGCAGCGCCCCCGATGGCGGGGTCCAAGGGGAAGAGCCCCTGGCTGGGGTCGAGCTGCCAGGTCAGCTTGGAATTTTTTTCTCGGGTAATACTGCTTTGTGAAAAATGCTTCAAAAATCCGAATTTGAAATTTTAAACCCGGTTTTGATGACCACTCCAGAGTTAAATTCAAACTTACAACTATGAATTTTTCAATAGTTGTGTTGTAAGTTTGGAGGCCACTTCGGGCTTAAATTCAGCTTAAACCACAAAAACAGAAAAATAAACGTGTAGAGGGATAGATGTCACTTAGATAGACATATTTAAACCGTACGTGAAAATTGTGTATAGATACATGTTTAGTTTAGGCGGGAAAAATCAATAACCGCCGCACAGAAACATGACACGTGTCCTCAAAGTTACTTATTTATTAGGTATATAGAAATGTCATATTTCTTTCCCATCTTCTTCTGTTTAAGAACATAAAAAATTGTTTTCTTCCTTTTTTTTCTTTTTTCTTCCGACACAAATAAAAAAATCCCTTTTTTTTCTCTTGCTTTTTTCCCCTTCTATTTCTTTTACTTTCTCTCCAAATTCGAGAACACGACATAACGGAAGCAGCCATTTTTTACGACCAGATTAATCATTTAGTCATTTTTCTCTCAAGATTTTCAAAGTATCATTACCTCTGTAAGTGTCGGTTTCTTTATTTCGGGAAGAGTTAAAAGAGAAAAATAAATTCATTTTTCATCCAAGTCTGTAAGTGGCACATTCACAAGTGAATGAAAATTAAAAGAAATAAAAAATTATCTTTTAGTTTATCTGGGAGTTTAAAATGTGTCACTTACAGAGGTAGTAGTATTTTAATACATTTTCAAAAGAAATGACTAATAAATGAATTTGAACCCTAAAAATTATAGGATGATAGTTGGATTGTCATGGGATTAGATCGTTTCAGTTTTATTGGATTATAGGTTGTCGTCTAATAAATGACCTGTCCAATTTATATGTTGAAATTTTGGATCCGATTCGATGCAATTACAATTTGATATCTAATTATAGTTGGTCAGTTCTATTTGGCTCGGTCGATTAAAATTTGATCAGATGGTTTTATGCATGCCCCTAAGTATATTAATTCCGACCTTTAATTATAAGGTACTACAATGGTAAAGATTTGTAAATCACATGAATTAAAACAACAATAAATTGTAAATCATAAAGACAAAAAAAAAATCAATGAACTACAAATCATAAGAACGGAAAACATGAATTTCTAACGATTAAGAGACAAGACTTTTTTTTTTTTGCCAAATAAAATTCACTTCTTAACGATTCAGATGTTGTCTTTTAATAGAACTATTAAGAGGTAAACAAACAACCCCTTACTTCAACATTTCATGACAAAATAAAAAAAAACAAACTTCCAAGAACTTCTATTTTATATATAAAGCAAATTTTATAAACAATTTGTCCGTTCAAAAAAAAAATATTTATAAACAATTTAAAGATCAAGTGACTCGCTAAACCATTACCTTATTACTATTTATTATCTTGTACTTATTTTTGTTAGCCAATAAATTCATGCCATGTCGTTTTTAAAAAAATCTAAAAAGCCACAAAGATGTCAGAGAACAACGCTATAACAATACTAGTCTAAAAAATCTTCTTCCCACAAAAACCGTTCATGTTCAAGTGCCAGGCAACAACGAGTGCCATCACCGTTACAGGCAAAAGCAATGCTAATAGATGATTTATTTCATTATGTGCAATCAGTTATTTATGTAAAACCCGAAATCCGAAATCGACTTTTTGGGAAAATTTTGGGTTTGGGTTGAGTTTGATTTTTGGTCATCCGATCCGTCCGAAAACCCAAAATATATATATACATACATATTTTAAATACCATGAATACACTTATTTATGTAATTATCTTTTAAAAATTCTAAAATTTTTAGTCGGTCGTGTGTTTTTTTTCTAATTTTTTAGCATACCATCGATTTATCAATCATTTAAATTGATTGAATTCATCGTCAAAATCAATAAAATATATATTTTTTGGATTATAACCAAACCCAACCGACCTCAGCCCGAAAACCCGACAAACTCGAACCCGAAGCAAATCGAAATCCAAAAAATGGGGCTTGATTTCCATATCCAAAATCCGATCGTGTTTTTGATTTCCCCACCAGAGCCCGTCCGAACCCCCCCGATGCACACCCTAATTTATGCATCTAACTTTAATCTTACCGTGATATAATACACATGTACCTTCTTATTCTTTCTCTAGAAAATCATAGATTTTAAACAATTATGTTTCCTATATATTATTTTCTTCTTTTTTAACACGATCAATAATATAATTAATTTGAATCAAAGCAACCGTGACATATATAAACAATCAAATTGGACAAAAATTGATCCAAGAAGACAGTTGCGTAAAACCAACGACAAAAAAAAACTAACATAATAAATACTTCGTAAAGAACATAGTTACGTAAATACCCTAAAGTAGGTGATATTTTTTTTTCCCAATAAGGACATGTATGTTAGCAATTAACGAGTTTGATGAGACTCACATCTTATTAGGTAAGTTACGTATGATTGTTTGGTGGTAGCTTAATGATATGGAATGCAGCTTATTCACTTTGCTTATATGGGAAGTTTTATGCCAAAAGTCATATTTTTTTCCGAACATGTCCCTCTCAATTAAAAAATACAATTTTCTAATATATGAAAAGCTCTCTCAAATAAACCTTCTTAATATATATATAAACGAATTAATCCACAAATATAACTTTATCCATACATCACTTAATGGAAAATCAACCAAACATGTTTGAACCGTCCCAACACCATAATTCCATAAACCATTTTAATATAATTCTACGACATTGTTTGGCAAATATAAACTACCTTATTTTTTGTGTACACGTCCGGATTGACATAAACTAGCTTATTGAAACGCTAGTTAAAGTAGATTATGAGAAACTTTTTGTCCATTTTTTCGATTATATAACCCACATTAAAATTAATTATTATTTATTACTATTAATTATAGATAAATACTAATAACAATGGATTATTAATAAATATAAAAAATTATAATTATTATTAAATATTAAAGTATTTAATATTAGTTGAAAATTGTTAATTAAGTTTAATTATACATTTTTTTGCTAATATTAATCGTTAATTATTTAGAATAATTATTAATCAAATCAATTAATTATATACTAGAAGGGTATTCGTGCAATACGTCGAGACACATTTCCATTTCAATGTTTTGTTTTGTTTTTATTCATGTCGATATAATACAATTTTATGTGCTTTTGAGAAAGCGATAATGTTTTTATTTTTGAATAAAATATAAATTTGAAAATATCATATAAAATTTACGAAAAATATTAATATCAAATTATCTAATTAAAAGTTATTGTTTGTTTATTTTTTTAATTCAAATTTTTTATTATAATTTAATTTAACGTAACGAATTAACTTAATTTAGGTTTAATAATATTTTTTTATAAAAAAATAATAATTAAGTATTCTGTTAAATTTCAATAATTATCCTAATTATATTTTAGATTTTTTATATTTTAAAAAAAGATGTCTATCCTCTATTTGATTATGTTTATCCGCAGTTAATTACACGAATTCAAATATAGAGCTTTAATAAGTTGTACTTATGCACAATTTACTTGTAATCTTGAATTTCAAGTAATATGCATTAATAAACAATACTTTATGCATAAATAAAAGGTTTTTAAGAGCTTTTGTAAAATGTTTTATAATATAGTATAGATTATTATTTTTTAACCATTATTCAATACATTTAGTTATCGAAAAACAAATATAACAATTTTAATATATGTAAGTTACATAAAAAATACAGTTACACTTATTTTGTTTCATGGATAATAAAGTTGTCTTAAATTGCTTTAATAAAATATTTAATTTAATTGTTCGTTATTATATTTGAAAAACTACTAATTATTTAAGATATGTGAGGTTGACCAGTTTAATTTTTATTTATATTTGTGTGTAATGGTTATTTAAGATCGTAAATTAATATAGAATTTTTTTTCCAAAATTTGTTTCAACAAATCCAAAATTTATAACATATACAATAATCAATTTAAAATTCTTTTAATTAATATATTATGTTCTTATATTTTTTTTTACTATCTTGTTTTTATTAATATGTGATATTATTAAATATTTGTTTTAATAATATTATTAAATACTGTAATTGACTAATATTTTAATATGCATTTTTTAGTCATTTTACATGTTATATATCAACTAATTTTGCCAAATATGATATGTTCATCAGTAAACTTATCGGTCATCGGTCATCAGTTAATTTATCAGTTGGCTTGTCAAACATAACCTAAATCTCCAATTCTCGGACTACGATGAGGCATCCAAATAATGCATCCATCGATATTCTAATAATCAATGATTTCCAAATTTACTAAATAAAGTACTTGGACATGCATTTTTCAGTTGGTTATTGTTGTCATAACATACTAAAAGGGTATTCGCATAATGCAGATAGATACATTTTGATTTTAATATTTTATTTTATTTTTTTATCTCGGTTGATGTTATAATATGGTCTTATGTGATTTTGAAAAAAATGACACTGTTTTTATTTTTGAATAAAATATAAATTTAAGGATATCATAAGAATTTGACAAAAATATATCGATATTATTATCAAATTAACTATTTAAAATTTCTCATTTTTTGTGTAATTTTTTAATTCAGCTTTTTATTATAATTTAATTTAGGTTCAATAACGAATTAATATATATTTGATTTAATAATATAATTTTTTATAAAGATAATAATATCAATTTTATTTTTCAATAAATTATAATTAATAAATAAATTCTTAATTTTATAAATATATTTAATTATTATTTATTTCCTTCCACATTTAGGATCAAAATTTTGGAAATATATCAACATTATTTTTTTTATCTTTTAGCTTCTTCTTAAAAACACGTGATTTTTCCCCTCCCCAATAAAAAATCGTAAATTATATAAAATAACATAAATTTTGACAAATTCGTTATACAACAGTTTTTTTAAATTATATAATATTTATATATGATAAATAGAACAAATAAATTCACACTCTTTTCATTTTTGATGATGTTTGAACCTTTGATTTTTTAGGAGGCTAAGAACTCAAATACCGTTAGGCCAAATGTTCTTTGGTCGTTATATAATAGTTAATAACTTCATATTTAAAATATTAGAGAAATTAAAGAAATAGCCGGTTTAAGAAACAAATTCATCTCTTAGGGGGCGTTTGGTTCGCATAATTGAAGGATTGAAATCTGTCGAACGAATTGAAATCTGGAAGGAATTGGAATGGAATATTATCGGGTTTGACCAAGTGTTTGGTTGACATAAATGAAATTTGACCTGTCTAATGAATTTGAATCTGTATGTTTGGTTTACAACGGAATTAGAATGAAATGATGAAAAAATACAAAATACCCTTTCTTTGATATTTTTAAAATAATTTAATTTTTTTATTAGCATTGAAAACAGTAGCATTGAACAATCACATAACCATAGAGCGGGGCCTTCTGTTTTGGAAGTTATAATCAATTATTATATACAATAAGAAAACAGTAGCATTGAACAACCACATAACCATCTACTTTGTATTGTTACCATCACAAAGACTTTGAGAAACTGACCATCCAACACAGTTTGAGAACACAGTAGCATTATATACAATTATGAAAACAGTAGCAAACAATTATGAAATAGTACAATGAAAAACAGTAGCAAGTAGCATAAATCATAAATGAGAATACCCCTCAATCAGTAGCAAGTAGCATAAGTGTAAAACAGTAGCATGTAGCATAAATCGAAGAAAGAAGCAGCATAAATCAGAAATATGAAACAGAAAATCAAAGAAACAGGCAGTAGAAAATTGAAGAAAGCATAGTTCAACCGAGAAGAAAATGTGGAAGCAGTTCAATTGAAAATCGAAGTGGAAGCAGTGTTCGATCGGAAGAGTGGGAGGAAGAAGAAGAACGGAACGACTAGGGTTAAAACAATGTAATGCGGGTATTTTTGTCATTTACATAAATTGGGATGAAATGGATTTTAATTCCATCACTTCCCCTAAGGAATGGTTAAATCATTCAAATGATGGATTTCAATTCCATCAATTCCATTCCAAAGGTAACCAAACATTGGAATGAAATTTGATCAACGAAATTGACCATTCTAATTCCATCAAATTCCGGCGGTTTCCGACGAACCAAACGCCCCCTTAATTACTTCTCTCATAAAAGATTTTCAAAATATCACTACATTCGTAAGTGGCAAAAAAAAATTCACTTTTTATCTAGGTCCGTAATTGATACCTCCGTAAGTTAGTGGAGAGTGGTTTTTTTGTCTTTCAACTCTTCCATGAATCATAGAGGTGCCACTTGCAAGCTAGTGATATTTTTTAAAATTCTAAAATAATAATTAAGGGGTCGTTTACTAAATGCTTACTTGGTAAGTGCTTACCGAGTAATTTTTCTTATCTGATTAACATAACAAGGGTTAAAAATCTTACCTGGTAAAAGTAATGATAAAGATGGAGAGTCTTACGCTGTAAGTAAGGGTGACGATCCTTATCTGGATAAATTATTGCATATGTATTACAATCTTACCTAATAAAATAAATTATAATGTTAACTGAGTAAACATTTAGGTAAACGAGCCAAAAAAAATGGAGTGAGTGACAAAGATGATTTTGAGAAAAAAAATCATATAGGTATTTTGTTTGTGTTTCTTTTACCAGACGTTTTCCCCCAAATCTAAAGAGAACTGAAGGTGGTTTCCATTCGAAAGCTGACCAAAAGATTTCAATCCTTTCCTCCCGGTCACTGAAGCCGATAAACAACGACAAAAATCCTTGCCAAAAATATTATCAATCACTTCAATTTAGCCGATTTCAGTCAAACTCCATCCGTCTCCCTAAAAATCCCTAATTTTCCCTACAATTTCTTCGTTTATGGAGAAATTCGACGCTTCTTTACCAATACTGGTTGATTCTGTTCTGTAATCGGGTTAGTACACTTTGTTTTTTTGTGTATCGGCATTTGAAACTGTTTTCTGTGTTGTTTTATTTTATTTTTTATAAGCAATTGTTGTTATTGTGTTCTTACTATGCCACCCTTGAGTTTACGTTTTTATCGAGATATCTTGTCGAAATTGGCTGAAAATTGCAATAAATCTTGATGTTATCTTGTATGTTCTTGGTTCCTTTTGTTTTATCGAGATTTATTGAACGCGTTTAGTAGTACGGATTGTTTAATGCAGACCTGTATGAACTACCAAATTGGGTACCTTTTTTGCCAATTGAGAAACAATAACCTAATTTACATGATAATGACGAATCTAAGTTGGGTATCCTTTTTGCTAATGGCAAGATGTGGATGTGATTCCCAGCACGCCACTAGGTCACATGAATTATACTTTTATTGTTCTGTTTCGGCCACAACCCCTTTTGGTCACATTGCAATTGTTGAGCATGTAGTTATCCATTTGCTTCTTGTAAAATTGTTAATTTTGGTTAACACGACCCCTCTATGTATCATTACTCAAGGTCTAAGATGATTTTAAACATTTGAGTAATAGTCACACACATCCGATAAACTATGTGTCCAGTCAAATATTGCAATTTCTATTGACCAATTACTATACATTAAGGAATCCATGTAAGGAAATTCCAGTGTGCTAAGGCTTCTTGACAGAAAACACATGCCACCACCAAATTCTTGTTCCATTCCCACCACCTGAATGTCTTCTATGCGGGGATGATTTCTAGGCAAACCTACAACTCTCTAGTGAGATACAGTAACACTTTTAGGTGTTGGTGACCTTGGTCGAAGCTACCACCATCTCCGGCAAAGTGCAGAGTGATGAATGTAGGACATTTATACCAGAATTATTAGCAACTTCCACCAACCTGTTAGAATTCCTTATTTTCCATGTGGTCTATATCCTTCTCATTGATGTCTTAATGATGATGAGATTGAAAGTTGGAATGGATTCTAGATAGAATTTTGGGGAGGAAAATGAAGCTTAGATCGTACTTTGATCACTCTTGAGAGCTCGTGTGGGGTGGGCCCTGGATAAAACAACTCTTGTCCTTCTAGTGTACACACATCATGGCCCATATTAAACATTATCTAGCTAGGAGTTTTTCTTTCCTTTACTTTTTTAACCCTGTTAATTAGTCTAAGCCAGTGTTTGTCAAATTTTTTAAAGTGTTCATTTGTTAATTTTCAATGAATTTGAAAAAAATAGAAGGTGGATGATTACTGGTTTCTTTGCGATAGTCTTTTCCTGGTAACTTGTAAAAACTGATGGGTTGAAACTTAGACAGTTAGACCTATGAACATGTATATACTGTTTAGTGATAGTAACAGATTTGTGTACTAAGGCTTAAAGAAATAAGGTGGGAAATGAGGGCATAGAACTCCATATGAATCTCAAACAAATCCAACAACTGTATGACACAATGGAATTTTATGAATTGATTCAGGATGATTACAATTCCCATATATTGCATCTCCGTTCATCCTACAGATCCCTTATTGTGTTGGAATTTTGTTGTGAAGGTTGACTGTTCTTTCAGGAATTTTGTCATTGAATAGCTGGACGGACCTCTATTTAGAGACAATGGGCAGTACATTTAATCCACAAATTTTGGTGGAGAAGCTGGCCAAGCTCAATAATTCACAGCAAAGCATTGAGAGTATCCTACTGAAATTTAATTATGAAGGCATATTTGCTTACTTTCATAACAGTCAGTAGTTATTTCACGATATTCATGTTAATTATTTTTTTCAAATCCTATGGCAGTTGATGTTATTTTTTTAGAATTGATGGTAACATATTTATCAAATTTATGTTGGCATATTATTTTTAACGAGCATTGTCTTTATCTTATGTATATCTCCCAAAGCTTCCCCTTCAATAGTCATTTTTCTAAGCAAAGTTTTATGTTATAGATGGACAAAGTGATGAACATGCACTAGTAAGTGTGCTTGTGAGGAACAAAGATAATACCAATATGACAATATTTAAGCTAATCTTAAGTTATTGAATGATGTAGATAACATTAAAAGGCGACTTTGGTGCATTGCTTTCCTTGCTTTATGAGACTTGGGGAGGCAGGTATTTGTATGCAACCTTTTCCTTGATTTTGCAAAGAAACTGTCTCCCCATGACTCAAACCAGTTACCTTTTGGCCGGTTGCTGTAAGAGTTAGAACCCAACTAACACTATTGCCATAATTAAGAAAGATAGGATGCCTTTGGGCTCAACAAATTTTTTCCAAAGCTGGTGGAGATAGATAACATGCCATTCATGACAAACAAGTTTAGAAATGAGGATAAAAAAGAATAGGTTGGAGTGGAATATCTAATTGAACATTATTATTTGATTGAACAAGATTAATCAAACAAGTTTAGAAATAGAGAAGAGAACCACCAAATACAACCCTACAGCCATCCAAATTGATTTTTTTTTCATGCAAGATGGTGACAAGCAAAAATGAGAACTTTTTGGAATATAACAAGGTGAAAAGAATGTACACATGCATGCTTGTTGCATGTGTATGAATCTATCTGTGGTTTACCATATTGGAAAATTGAAGTGTATGGGAACTCATTAGTATAAGTATAAACAGGAAGGCACCATATATGCATCATGAATATTATTGCCACCATCTCTTCTTCAAGGCGTTTGGGGTTCTCATCACGGCCCCAGTGAAATGTAAAATTGGATATAGTTCACCCCGTTCATGGGCATAAGCTTGCTACTGCACAAATTGGTAGCCTGTAGCTAAACATTATCGTTATATCCTACAACTTTTTTGTTTTCTACATCAATATATTTAGTATGTATCTGACTTGGTACGCTTGGAAGGTTTTGGATTATTGTTCAATTCCATGTACTGCAATGAATCATCGTTTGATGTTGTTATCCCTAACGAGATATAAGCTCTGTCGCACTGGTGTATTTTTCATATGAACAAGGCTAAGCAAGTTGTAGAAACATGGGCTAGACAATTCCATTCTTCCCCGCGTGATCAACGCCTGGCTTTTCTCTATCTTGCAAATGATATTCTGCAGAATAGTAGGCGCAAGGGTTCAGAGTTTGTTGGTGAATTCTGGAAGGTTCTTCCAGATGCACTCCGTGATGTGATTGACAATGGGGATGAATTTGGAAGAAATTCAGCATTACGCCTGGTATGGTGGTTTAATCTCCATGTTTATGATTGAGAGTATTATATATAGGTTAATTTTTATGTGTAGCATTGGTTGTATTTGTTTTTCCAAAGCAAGCAAATATCTTATAACTTTGAAACTGAAGAACTTCTGTCTACTTTTATACAAATATAATTAATGTTCCTTTGTAAATGAATTTGTAGGGTTCTATGAATTTTATGAATGTGAAAAGGCAAATAGTGACCCTGATTATTGATCATTGAAAGAAATAGTAATTTATGGTAATGATTTAGAACTTGTAATGGTGTTTTGCGATTTTCTGTGTTGAACAGTATAATGATGCTGTAGATGGATATATTGAACATTTTGTGAAGAGTTGGGAATAACAAGGATCCATGTTCCTGATGAAGGGTAGATAGCTGCCTGATTATATGCAGTTTGAGGTTACTGTTGTTAGGCTACACTCTATATGTACTTCTGCCAATTTCCAAAAGAAAAACCTTAGAATCTTTTTGTTTATATTGCTTCCCTTCACAAAATTTTCACTTTCTGGGCCTCACTTCAAGTTCTACTGACAGTCTAGTGGATGGGATTCACAATCACATCTTGAATACATCAGAACCTTTAAATGAGACCTCAAACTAAAATTGACAGAGTAGCCAGTGTGAATGAAATTAAATCTTTGAAGACACTGCTGAGATTATTTAACCATCAAAGATTTACACAATGGTCTTCTATTTTATCATGTGAAAGGATGTAATAAGAACTAAGAAGTACTATTGCTCAATATGTGGAATAAAAGGACGCTCTTGCAGTATTGGACCTACAATATGATACTATAATGACAACCTGTTCCATATGGATTGAGCTGTTTCAACTTGGTTTTTGAATTTTGAGAGAGAGAGAGAGAGATTGAAATGCAGTCTTGTGTATATCATCTTTGAACAACTGAATCTGATGGTAGCCACTTCACAAATCAAGCTTCACAAATCTCCTGTATATTATTCATCAAGCAATTCGTCAATTATTGGGTAGAGCTGGATTGATGTATTTTAGGGTTCCTATGATGGAAAAGTAGCTTCACATTAAGATGTAGGACTATGTATTTGGTATAAATACTGATATCCTTTTTTTATGCCTGACCATACACTTCTAAGTTTTGTGATGAATATTTGGACAGGAAAACAGTTTGCTACTTGTAAACCTATTCTCAATATTGCTTTATCAATCAAGTCCACAATTAGTCAGGTGTCCTGAATATTTGAAACATACGATTAGTTACATCAGGAGCGATGCTAGTGGCTGTAAGATGACTGCAGAGCAATAAATGAGAATGTATTATGAAAGGTGGATATTAAATGGTATTCGTCATCTATACAGCCATGTTGGGCGGAAACACCATCATTTATTTCAAGTGTGCAAGCATTGGTATCATTGCAGGAAGCATGCCATAATCGTCTGCATTTATATGTTGACAACCATCTATATAAGTAGGCAAAACTGAAAGTCAATCTAGATCCTTGGTATATTAACATATTCTCTAAAGCCTCTATTACCGTCACACTAATTCTTTCAGCATGCGTATCCGTGATCTGATGATCATGTCAAATTCCTCACTTTTTGCCTCATTGTCCTTGTATGTATGTATGTATTGCATGCATGTATGGATGTATGTGCTATAACATCTATTTCTAGTTATCGATTTAGGATTTCATTTGTGCATTGTAAAACAAAAGGAATAACTTAAAATCATGTTTGACTGCTATTGAAATTATGAACAAGCTATTTCTAGCTCACATTCTTATTTCCTTACTTATCCAATCCTATCTTGCAAGGATGAACTCCCTTGAGTAACCCTATTCACTTAGGCGAAGGATCGTGTGAGAAGAAGAGTTAAGGTGAGAAGCGTAAGAAGGGATCTGGACCTTTGATCACCTTTAATCTCAAACCCACCCGTGAATCACGCTTGATATGGGGATTGGCAGATGCATGTCGGTGCATCTTATCCTAATGTGCATCCAAGGGTGGTGATCCCTTATTACGCTTCTCACCGGAACTTAATCCACAACATTTATATGTACATTTATGTCCTCTAATGAAGCTTTGTTGTGTATCTGTCTTGCTTATATAGTAAGATCTTGAAGTTGTCTTAGAGGTGGCAAAACGGGCGGGTCAGGCAGGGTCGGTAACATTTTAAAATAGGTTCGGGCCAAAAGAGCAAATTTTAATTTGCGGTTCCAATTGGGTTGGTTGACCTGCCAACATATATATTATTTAGTTTTATAAATAAATAGTATTAAATATGATCACGCAAAGCTATAACAATACAGTTTTCTTTAAATAGAACGATTTAGGAGGTTGTAAACATTTGATATACATTTTAGGCATCTTTTGTCCCATTAACCTGTTTGACCCGTTTCTTTTTTAGTTGATTTTTTCTATTTTACCTGTTAATGATGAAATACCACCCGAATTTGACCTGTTTCACATATAAAATGGATTGAAATGCTACCCCTTATGTGTGATGCTTATCTTGAACATGCATTTGACAATAAAAACATATCTAGCATACTATCTTCAAGAAAGCCTTTTGCTATTCTTGCATCTGTTAAGTGTTAATTCATAATCAGCAGCCTTTCGCCTTTCCTTTTTGAGTTATTTTCTCATTGATTTGTGTTGAGCTATATTAATATCTGAATTGTCATGCTTTAACAATGTAAACAGCAGAATTGGAGTAAACTGTTGCTTATGCATTTCATTTTATCTCGTCATTTTTTCACATGCAGGTCAACATTTTGGATGAAAGAAAGGTTTTTGGTTCTCGAGGGCAGGTTCTTAAGGAAGAGCTAGTCGGAAGGCACCTGGAAACCAGTAATAAAAACGGGAAGCATTCAGGGCTAAAATTGGTACTTCATCTTGTTCTCTTCCTGCATGTTCCTGTATGGAGTTGTGCTTGTGTATGTGTGTGGGTTAAAGTTTCTTCTTATTATATCTTAACCAGAAACGACCTGCTGGAGATGCATTGGACAAGATAGTTTCTGGGTATCAAGTTATATATGCCGGTCAAGTAAATGAAGATGCCGTTATGAGCAAATGCAGGAATGCCATCAGCTGTGTTGAAAAAGTGGACAAGGAAATTGGTGGGGATATTAGATCTGGTATGTTTCTCATCTGTGATTATCAGTTTCTATTAGTTATATCTAAGGGGCCGTTCGGTTGGTTTTTCATCAAGTCTTGTATGGATAAAGCTGTCTGTGTGGATTAATCTGTCCGTATAGATTGGGAAGGTTTTTGGTTTGGGAGGGTTGTTTATAGTTGAAAGGAGCGTGTTTTTAATTGGGAGGGGTAGGTTTGGATTTTTTTTGTTTTTTTAATAGTGAGGGGCAGGATTGATTTTTTTTTTGGTTTTCTGCATAAAGCTCTCCCTTAGGGGTTGTTTGGTTGGTTTTCCATTAAGTCATGTATGTATAAAATTGTCTGTGTGGATTAATCTGTCTGTATAGATTGGAAAAGTTTTGTCTTGGAGGGTTTTTTCATAGATTGAACTTTGAAGGAGCAAGTTTTTTAATTGGGAGGGGCAGGTTTGGAAAAATACTTGGCTTTCTGCATAAAGCTCCTCCCTGGAATCTTACTGCATAAGCCTTTTTTTTACATCATTAAGCAAATACCAAACGGTCATGTATAGCTGACCGAATAAGCTGTGAATCCCATTAAGCTCGTTAAGCTACTAACAGACAGTCCCTTAGAAGCTTAATGAAAAAGCCACTTTCTATATCATGAAGTCACTACCAAACAGTCATGTATAGCTGACTGAATAAGCTGTGAGTCTCATTAAGCTCATTTAGCTGCTAACAAACAGGCCCTAAGATAATTAGCTATGTTGAAAACTAATACTATGATGTATTAGTTTCTCCCCTCCCCCCATGAGCTCCTTCCTTCATTCTCTTTGAAATCAGAAGTAATAATGGGTGTGTCCGTTTTTTTTTTCTCATAATCAGCAAAAGTAAATGGGCCAGGTGTTGCCGATGAACTGAAGGGCCAGCATGCTACATTGCGGGATTGCATTGAGCAACTTACAACAGTTGAATCATCAAGAACAAATCTCGTGTCTTGTCTGAGGGAGGCTCTTCAAGAACAGGTTGGTTGGTAGCCTTAAACTAGTGTACTTTTGTGTGTCATATATTCACATTTTGTCCTTAAACCGAGCTTCCATGGTTTTGTTGTCAGGAAATGAAACTGGGCCAAGTCCGTAGTCAACTTCAGGTTGGTTACTTTCTCTTCTTTTATTACTTGCCTGAAAAATATCTTACTAGTTAGGGGTCATTTACTAAACGGTTATCGGGTGAGCATGGCAAGGACAGAGAATCTTACCCGGTAAGATGAATAGCAAGGACGGAGAATCTTACACGGGGAGGACAAGACTTTTACCCGTAAGCGCTTATCGGGTAAAAGACGACTACCAACAACCCATTCTAATGGCCGAGAATGTTACCCAATAAGGTAAGTGAGGGTGGTGACCCTTGCTCCTAAACGTCTACCCGATAAGCGTTTGGTAAATGTCCCCTTAGTGAGTTCAGCTACCAGATATCCCTCTGGGTAATTTTGTTATGAAAAATAACTGTTACCGTGTTACCGTGTTTTCAGGCTGCACATACTCAATCAGAAAAGGCCGATAATTTCTGCAGGCAATTAATTAAGAATCCTAATGGCATCCAATCGCCATCTGAACAGGGTCGGAAGGAAACTCACCCATCCAAAGTGCAAAGTTACGTTCCAGGCACTGGAGAACAGTCTGCTCCCGTGATGTACACACGACAGATACCTTTCGGTGAGCAATCTGAGGAGGATACTAAATCCGCTGCAGCTGCAGTGGCGGCAAAGCTCACGGCATCGACATCCTCGGCGGAGATGCTGACATACGTCCTCTCATCCTTGGCGTCAGAGGGCGTAATTGGCAATTCACGGAAAGAGTCGCCCTCAAATGATTATCCCTTGCAGAAAAGAACCAAGATCAATAACGACCAGCCTCCGCCTTATATACCATCATCTCAGAATGCTCAACCACCGGTGCCGCCTTTCCCCCACCCAGATTCTTTACAGCATGGTAATAATAGCCGTGGTGGTGGCATATTGAAAGAGCCGTCTCATGACCAACCACCACCTCCACCTCCGCCATCATCTCCGCCTCCTCTGCCACCAATGCCACCTATGCAGCCATATCCAGTCCCTCCATTCATGCAGTCTGCTGGGACGGTACCATATGGCCATAATACAAATCAACCACCACCGCCACCACCTATGCCTCTACCCGGATTTCCCTCCGTGGGGCCGCCAGTCAACGGTGTTTCATCATACACACCGGCACTTCCACCGGACGGTTACCAGAATTATCAAATAGAAGGTGGTTTCTATAGCCAACAATCAGCCATGCCAATGGCACCTATGTCTAGGCAGTAAAACCAGCAAGTTTGTAGAAGTAATTGGAGATTCTTGCACATTATTTAGATGTGGTAGAAGTGTTATACAAGTAAAGTAGACGAGAGTTTAAATTATTCTAATGGGTAGTTAAATTATATGAGGAATATTTGAGTGTTGTTTGTGTATGGAGTTGCTGTTTGCAATGTGGTGGTATCAAACAGGAATTACCAACACCATGAGGCTAAAATTTGGCAGAGGGATGTTGGTATGGTTATGAAACCAGAGGTTTAACAAACTGTTTGGTTGGTTTTCTATTAAGTCGTGTATGGAGAAAGTTGTCTGGGTGGATTAATTCGTCTTTATAGATTGAGAATGTTTTTAGTTGGAAGGTTTCTTTATAGATGGAAAGAGCTTGTTTTTTTAATCGGACGGTATGTTAGTAAAAACTTGACTTTCTGCATAAAGCTTTCCTTAGAAGTTTACTGAATAAGCCACTTTCTATTTCATTAAGCTCCTACCAAACAGTCATTTATAGCCGACCGAACAAACAAGTCTTAAGGGATGTCGATTATAAACCTTTTTGTCTATATTTTACATGATGTTTTTGAACAAAAAAAATATAAGCTGACTTAGGTAATATTTATATACGGCAAATGTAACAAATAAACTCACACATCCTTTTCACATTTGGTGATGTTTGAACTTCTGACCTCGTACTAGGATGCCAAAGATCACGATACCGCTAGGGTAAAAGCTCTTTGGTTTCTTTTATTTTTTTATTTTAGGCTTTCAATTCCACCCTTGATTTTGAAATTGTTTCAAAGTCATTTTTGTGCTGATTTGATTTTAATTAAAAGATTTAACAACAATATATCAAATGTTTGTTTTCCTTAAATAGGAAGGTTTTTTTTTTCATATAAAAATATGATTTATAATTAAATAAAAATCTTGACTAATAATTTAGGTAATTATTAATAAGGCAAAATAAAAAAAAAACTAGTAAGCCAACTAATAATAAAATAAAATGCCTGTGACGTGTAAACTCCGTTGATAAAAGGATGGAGGGTTTTATGTAAATACGAGGTCCAACTTCTGCTGATCTCAACTGCTGAGTGAGCTAAAAGATTATACCTCCTCCAATTGATGTTTTGAATGTGGATTATGTATGGAGTCGTTTGAAATTGCCGATAATCCATATTTGTCAAGAAAAATATTTAATAAATTTAAGACAAATTGAATGAAAAAATAACGTACTTTAACTTGATTCCTATTTTGGGTGACATACTTTCAAAACTTCTATTTTGGTATATAAGATGTAAAATTTTAAACATTTAAGTACCCGGCTAACTGGTTGAAGACTAATTTTAGATTAAAAAAAAATTCATGTCACTAACCATGTCAGTAAATAACTTTGAGTTGGATATCATATCACTCGTCACATCAGCATGATAACCGGTTAATGTTTCAACCTGTTATTTGAGTATTTAAATGAATAAAATTTTACATTTTAGCTATTATAATATAAATTTTTAAAAATACGTTATCTAAAATAGAAATTAAGTTAAAGTATTTTGTGTAGGAATAAAGAAGTCAAAGGTATTCAACGGTCGATTTGTTTACCATCACTGCTCCTGACAATGCCTCTGAACCCACCGTCTAATTCTCAGGGGCTGTTTGGCAGTTGCTGAATGATTTAGTTCAGAATAGTTAAGAGGTTAGAATGGTTAAGAGAATCATAATGGTTAAGTGCTGAATGAAACAAGGTTGTTTGGTAATTGTTCTCTGAATGACAACAAATTACCATTTTAACCCTCAAGAAATACAATCAATTCTAAATGGATATATAGAAAAGATGCTGTTTCTTCATATCAGTATTAAATCCTCAAGAAATTGCAAAATGTCGGTAATCTAATCATCATTAACATTGTTACAAACATGAAATAAGCAATAAACACCATCAATTTCCAAAGAAAAATGCTAAATTCCCTAAACCAAACCCTAGACTTATCGAAAACACGTACCAGCAATAAGGAGAGGACGCAGCAGTAAGGAGGCTGTGGAAGGCGACCGGAGACGGCGACGAGAGGCGGCGGCGTGAGGCGGCGACGAGCGGCGGCGACGACAGACCTGCTGGAAGAAGGCGACGTGAGACCTGCTGGAAGAAGAAGACCGATGATCGTAGGGTGGGGGAAGCGATTTGAAGACCGGCGATCGTGTGTGGGGGGAGGGATTTGAAGACCGGCGATCGTAAGGTGGGGGGAGGGGTTGTGAGCGATGTGTGAGAAACGTTGGGAGAGAGGGCAAAGATGAAAAAAGAGAAGTCTAAATGGTTTATAGAACCCTTAGATACAAAATGGTTAAAAGGGGTAATGTAACCATTCAAAGACTTTTTTTTTACCAAACAACTTTGACCTCTTACCGATTAAGAGGTTGACTCTTAATGGTTAGCTCTTAATGTAACAATTAAGAGCCAAACAAAAGCCCCTTTGCTTCCTTCAAATTCTCATTTCTCTCAAAAGGATATTTCTTAACATTATAGAGAAAAACTATTACCTTTATTCGTATTAAATTGACATTTTAACATCTATTAATTTTGATAAATCAATTAAAAATAATATAATTATAAAAATAGAAGTGGTTTCATTTACAAATTCAATTATTAATACTAGAAGGGTATGCGTACAATAGAGTAAGATACATCTTGATTTTAATATTTCGTTTTATATTTTAGCTCTATCGATGTTATAATGCGATTATATGTGGTTTTGAGAAAAAGAAAAAATGTTTTTATTTTATAATAAAATATAAATGTAAAGATATTATAAAAATTTGAAAAAATAATTGATATTAATATCAAATTAACTACTTAAAGTTCTCGTTTTTGTGTAATTTCTTTATTTCATATTTTTATTATAATCTAATTAAAGTTTAATAAAGGACTAATTTATTTTTGGTTTAATATAATAATTAATTATTCTATTAAAATTCAATGATTATCTTAATTATGTTTAGATTTTATACTTAAAATGATGTTTATCTTGTATTTAATTATGTTTATCTGCAGTTAGTTATACGAATTCAAACATAAAGCTTTAATAAGATGTACTCATGCACATTTTACTTGTAATATTGAATTTTAAATAACATGCATCAACAAAAATAATATTTCATGCATAAAAAATAGTTTTTAAGAGTTTTTGTCAAATACTTTATAATATAGTATAGATAAAACGTACAAACAAATCTCAAATCGTTTATCTAATCCAACAAATACTGATTTAATGAATATCTCGATTATTTCCTAACATAAAACGTCGAAAATAATAATTCATGATAATATATTAATTTTTTTTTATAAGTGTTCAAATATAATAAATACATTTTCATCATTTCTATAAATATCTTAATTAATTGATTTATATGGTTCTCTTATTTATTTTTTTCTTTTATATATATATATATATATATATATATAAGTGAGTTATTATGCAACCCTTTACATTTGTACAACCAATACAACTCAATCTCAACCGTTTATTTAATTTAATGAATATACAATTTCATAAATTTTTTAATTATTTTGTAATATAAAGTATTGATCATAGAACTCTAGTGATCTTCCATAAATATTCAAATAATAATAAATAAACTCTCATAATTTTTATAAATATGTATATTGATTAAATTGCATTGATAATACAAATGAAAATGATTGCATTTAAAATATACCACTTTCTCTCTTTATCTACACATGTAACCGACAGAAAACACACCAAGGTATTTAATTTAGTTTTAGTAAAAGAAAAATAAGAATGGAAGTTGAATTTGAATTGATTGAAGGCAAGGTGTTGGAAATAATACAACAAAAAGCACAGCGAAAGTTGAAAGCAAAAGAAAATGAGGTTTTAAATGCTCATTCATTGACAGTGCGCCTCGAGATCAGGTCTAGGGTTCCTCATCTTCAACTTCCACCTCTTTTCTCAGATTTTCAAACCATTACTCATCTTCCATAATTCAAACTCCACGCACACCTGCTACCGCTTCTGTTCTTTGAAGACGTATATTTGCAAAGGTAAACAGGTGATTCACGCTATAACTTTCTATAAACAACTAATTTTCTTCCTCTCTTTTGTTAGATTTCAATTAATCGTTGTAGTTTCAGTTTGTGCAGGTGTTATTAGTGACTTGACGGAAGGTGTGATCCTAGGGATTCATTTCATATAAGCTCATATTTTAGGTTGTTGCAAATGCCGGAGGAAGATCTTTTAGAGCTCAAGTTTCGATTGCTTGATGGATCCGACATTGGTCCGTTTCGATACTCTCCTGCTTCCACCGTCGCCATGCTCAAGGAGAGAATTGTTGCTGAATGGCCCAAAGGTTAGGCGGATTTTCGTCTCACATGCTTCTATCTGATAGTTTTTGATACTGTATAGATGACACCTTTTTCGTTTTCAAAATTCATGCGATTTTGACTTACTTAGTATCGTCACCATGACTGTTAATTGCGCTCGAATATTCATGTTGAAAGCTTTCTGTCGGTCCTTGTGTTTTAAGTTAAACGGTCCTCGTAGAGGCTTATGTGTTATGGGACAGAGTACCCTACAGTCCTACATCATTGTTTTGGATTTTTGAGTTTCTGATTTTTGTTGTATTTTGCTAATTTTACGTTGCAAATTCTCAAGTATGGCCTGGTGTCAAAAGTTTGCGCTGCAATTTCGGCCAGTTAAATCCTAGGGAGGTTGAGCGTATCTAACTTACGGCTTACGGCAGACTCGGATCACCTCTCATCAGAAGCAGCCGCATATTCTATACTTCTACTCTATCAGCTACTCTAATTTCGGGGCTCACTTTGCGGGTGTCAGATAAAGATCACGCACCACTTGTGCCAAAAAAAGTTGATTCCATTGCAGTGATAGACCAGAAATAAAATAAAAAAACGTGTCAGGAGAATAGGCCATGCCAGGAGGACGCCTATTTGTTACGTCCAGGCGGTTCATGGATGTGATTATAAACTAGAGTCTATAACCACTTTGATTCTGCAATATTTTGTTCATTAATAACTCCAGATTCTTTCATTTCCATGTAAAGATCATTTCCTTTCATGAGTGCATTCACCGGCTCGACCAAATATGGATATGCCTCTGTGAGCTTTGGTAACATTGTTAACCGATTTCATAATGAGTATTGTTTTACCCAAGCTAGCTCCCTTGAATAGTCTATTTTTTTTCCTCCACGGCGTCAAGGGGATAAAGGATCTACTACTTTAATTCCGGTTTCATTAATTGATAATTTTGTATGTAAGTGTATACAGGCAGACGCAGACCTATGGATAGGCAATGATATGCTAGTATCTGCAGGACCTAAATTATCAACAGGCTCACCAAGCACGTTAAAAATTCGTCTGAGTCGCTCCACCGCCCAGACACCTAGTAGAGCTTTTGTATCAATTATGTCCATCCCTCTCGTTAGGCCGTCTGTAATAGCTACAACCCTAACTCAATTGTTTCCTAATGATTGTTGTGCCTCACAAGTCACAGTAATTGGTTGACCATAGTTTCTCAACCCTCAACTACCAGAGCGTTATAGATATCATGCATTTTGCCTGGTGGAAAAGCTACATCTACTGAACCAATGATTTTGGTAATACGTACCAGGGGTTATTTTTGAGCTTGGAAAGCCCAGATTCAGAAGTAGTAGTAGTAAGTAATGCTTAGCAGAGGGTAATAGCACATACTTACCTTGATTCAGACATTTGAGCCTGCCATCTCTTTTCCTATCAGTCAAGCATGATGTGCTTGCTACTATCCTAGAGAAGGCAATACTTTCTTGGAATTTGAACCATCACAAAGACAACTATTTTGAATTTGGACGGGTATTCATGGGATGAACTCATCATTGGTGATTTTAGTGTCACCAAGCATTTTGGTGTAACTGAGATTGACTTGAGATAGATGAAAATTCAAGGTTTAGCATTAAGACAAGTCTGGTCGTGCGGAGTGCACGCTTGAATGTGCCGCCTTGAACCTTAGACTACCGTATAACAGGGGGTCAAGGGGCACGGCCCCCATAAGGGGTTCCAAGGGGCAGAGTCCCTGGGTGATGACATGTCTGTTTTAATTGTTTCTCTAACCAACCATAACGCTCATATAACTACCTATAAAAGGTAATTTCTATCTTGATATATATATATATTATATATATATATATATATATATATATATATATATGCACACACACACAAACACACTCATGCACATGGACAAAACAAACAACAATCTCAAATTGATTACTCGAGTTTTCTGCCTTAACAAACGAGAGTGAGATCTTGGATTATCCCAACACAGATTTCGTACAACCTATGGCTATAAGGGTCGGAATATTGTGTTTGGAAAGTGCTCTTGATACACGATCCGAGATTTTATCTGAGTGATTGTAACCATGAACCCAGATGTCTAACACTCATACGACTGTTTCGCCACTATTAATGCTCACCATTGATTTGTAACATGGAGTAACCAAGAAATCTGCTTACGTGAGGCTGAATGCATGAGCAGCTCTGTGCATGTCAGGGACCTCAGGGTAGGGATTATCCATCTCCTCTGATGTTATTAAACAGGGATGTTGAGCTCAAAAAACATTTAAAGTGGTTGCCTAACTAGCCTAATATATTTCATGTGAAAATTTTGCACATGTGTGACATGTACCCTTCTTGCAACAAACTCTTCTTTGCTTGGTTGTAATTTTTTTTGTATGCTGGCCTTTCAACACTTTTTTAGCTTCAGAATCTTGTTACCATTTTTTCTTACCATTGGTACATCGTATAAGGGTAATGAACCTTTAACCACTATCTTGGTGCTTGTTTGAGGCCCTGTAGTCTTACAGAGCAGATATTCTGGCCTTCTTATTTTCAGATTTTTTGGCTAAAAGCCTAAATCCCTCGACTATGATTAACGAACGATTTATCCCAATCTAGCTGAAGTAGGACAAGGATGAACTCATAAGCAATTATAGGGTTATGCTGTGAATAGCGTTTCCTCATGCTTTCCTGTCAAAAGAGTTCTCCTAATTTGGTTTACTGCTGCGGTCCAAATCTCCCTCAACTTCTTATCCTCATGTTGATCTTGGCCTATGGGGGTGAGTCCAGAAGCAAATATTACGGATTTACGGTTGCTTCCTTATGACGGCTCAGGTAATGAGTTGGAGTAATAACCATATTTGCAGAATGCAATCAAAGGTTGCTTACAAAGACTTCCCTCAGCGACCCTTGCAAAGCCAAGGACCCTTGATCCACCAGGAACGATCTTGGTGTGTCCCTACCTGATGCCCTCGTGTTGCTTTGAGAGACGATGTTACATCTCTTGAAGACCATGGAGTTTGTTATTTAATCCTATTGTGTTATGGAGAGACAAAGTTAGGCTTGTCTAGCTTGTTTGGAGTTGAATGATTAATTGCATCTGTTTTCAAGGTTAATGCTAGGCTATATCACGTGTGTAAAATCATATGAGTGTTAGTTTGGTGAGCATTGATTGTTGGATTATTATGAAACTACAATGACTGGGAAAAAAGATGCCATGAAACAGGAAATGGCGTATTTTCTGCCCTTCACGTAACCAGATATCTGCTTCATCTTGTGTTCTGTTCTATTGAATGAGACAGTGCTCATATGAGTAAGATGTAGTTATTCTTCATAGTAGATGTGAAGAATATTTGGCTTGTGGAGTGAAAGCATTTTTGAAAATAAGAGAAGGTATAAAGCCAATAGCATCTGTAAAGTTATTATCATTCCCTTTCAAATTTCTCTTGGTGAAGGGAAAAGTGGCCTAGACTTTCACAGTTACCCTCCTACTTGTATGCATGTATTACCATGTTAGATGCATATCATGATTGTCGAATCATTTTACGCTATTGGTTAAATTAGCGAGTGGGTTGGTCACCTTAGGTATGTTTTTCCTGTAGTTGCTTCAATTTATATTATTGTTGCTTACTCCTATCTAGTTTCTCAAAATTTAACATATTTGTCTCTCTCTTTCTAGTTTTATTGATATTGTTTTTTCTTATCCAGCTTTCCAATTTTTAGCATATTGTTTGGTTCAATCATCTCTGAATGCACATGTTTCATTCTTCAGATAAAAAAGGTGGACCCAAATCAGCAAATGACATCAAGTTAATAAATGCGGGGAAAATTTTGGAAAATAACAAAACTGTTGGCCAGTGCAGAACACCTTTTGGGGAGCTTCCAAAAGGGGTAATTACTATGCATGCTGTTGTACAGATGTCTTTAACCAAAGCAAAAACAGGTAATTTCATCTAGTCTTTCCTCATGATTGTGTCATTTGCTATTCACTCTCTTCTATGTATGCGTTTTCTGCAAAGCAATTTGATGACTTGGTTTCAGGGTCCCCATTGAATCCATTGATGATGATACAAATAAAATAACACATGTAGTATAGGAATTTTATCTCATGGGCTAAGTGACATTAAATTATATTCCACCAAGGTTAAAGAAAAAGGAGTGCCATTTTGATATGGGGAGTCAAAGGAGTTTACTTCCTGGACTTGTTTTTATCTGAATCATTTAACATTGCAGTAGGAAGATCACTTTTGAATATTTAAAGTAGGGCCAAATTCTCCCAATTTGTGGCCTTCCCAAAGGCAGCATACAACTCTTTGCTGTACTGCGCTCTCCAACGACAGAAAAAGGGATTGATCAAATTTTATTGAGTCTGACTTATAGTGTTTTTCTTGAATGTGTTCAGTAAACTATAATATCAAATACTAGAAGATAACTGGTGTAAAATATAACAAGAAGAAGTCATGTCAACGTTTTGTTGATTTTGACAGATAGTCCATCTGACCGTCATTTGTGGACCCTAGTTTGGAATTAAAGGAATGTAGATTTTTTTTTTTTTGGCATTGAGCTATTCTTTTTCTAGTCGATGATATCTTCTAATCCCTCTCCAAGAGTTGCTGTTGTTCAAGGTACTGCGGCTCTGGGTTTCAGGTGGCATTTCATGCTTATGTAGTTGTAGTGTTTTAGAATAATGAATGATCTTCCTTCTTTCGTTCTATTGTAGCCATTGATCAAATGAGTTTTATTCAACTCATCTAGTCATCTTATGGTTAGAAATTTCATCATTAATTCTATTATGGTCATGTGTGAAACCCATGTAGAATGGGGATGAGGGGATTTAAAAATACCAAGACAAGAACATATTGGAAACAATCTACAGTTCAAATACAAGTCCTATAATCATAAATCCTTCTTTGAAACTCGTTGCTTAGGGTGATTATAATTATAAATCCTTCTTTGAAACTAGTTACTTAGGGTGATTATTCAGGCCAATTATGTGACCATCAATAGAGTTTCAAATTTGAAGGAAGCACCGAGCATCCTCTTTGAGCCATGTCAAAAATTTATAGGAACTAGTTGCAAGAGGATCTTTAGCCAAATGGGTATCTTTGTCTATATTTCGTATGTAAACACGAAGTCTTTGCTCAATCGAAACAGTTCGAACCATTTAGCTTATGGTCCATGAATTTTAGACATCACTGATACCACGTCCTCACACTCGTCACAGTAGGGTTTTTTGTGGTCGTGCATAACATCTCAACGAGATAATATGAACTTGATGACTGGAAAGAAGCTCTAATTATGTACATTTTGCTGACAAGACTAATATGCAGATCATCGACATTTACAAAATTGCATTTTTTTTTCAAGGGTTTTTACTGTTAGGGCACATGATTATAAGCATTTAATGTGGACCACTTTTTTAAGATATACAACCTTAATTAAATGATGTTCTTCTTTCACATCCAACCCTTCCATATATATTCTTCTCTCACATCCAACCTCATACTAATAAATTTTCCATATTAAATGCACATTAAATGCCTCAAATTTTGTGCCCTTGGGCACATTATAGCCAGACCATGTTTTCAATTATTACTATACCTTCATAAGCAACG